GAATGGGTTGATTTCGGTCCCCAGCACCGCGAATGGGTGGAAGAAGGGGATATTCGGGCCCCTTACCTGATCCGTAGTTTCCACAGAAGGTTCCCGGACAAACCGGGAGGTCTCCCGCCCAGCCCGGGAGGTCTCCCGCCCAGGCCGGGAGGTGTGTTGTAAGTGTATTTTAAGGGGGGCAGTATGTCAGCAAGCTGCCATTCTGTTTTCTGTGACCTCTGTGTACATATCCTTTCCCAGTTACACCCGGCTTGGCTTCTATCATCCTGCTCCTGCTTTGGAATGCAAAAGATAACCGCTGGAGGTTGTGTGGGGGAGAAGATGCTGTAATGCTTGCCTATTGATTTTCCCAGGACTACTGCACCTGTGTTTTGTCTGATGTTCTGCCTGGTTCCCATGTACTGGGCGCGCAACCGTTTCCTTAGCCCGCCAGCGGGAAAGATATTCATTGGATCTGTATCTGTTTGAAGTTCCTTTATTATGCTTGACCTAACTGTGTAGCCCCAGTTCTAACAAAGAACGTGTTTGAGTATGTCTTCAACGCTTTGAAATAAATTTTGCTTTTCTTGAAAACGTGGATTTATTCTCGATGCTTGGGGATCCAACAGATCCTTTCTCTGTGGTAGCAAATGACGGAGTGCTCCCCCCCACCGTCCATCACATCCTGGTTTCATTGGGAAAGGGCTGCCTTGCAGCAGGGAGCAGGGGGGGGGGCACTCTTGTCCTCAGGGCCAGGCCAGGCACCACCCTTCTTAACACTGGGCTGGCATCAGCCCAATTTGAAAGGTTCCAAGTGACCATAATGGTCATCCCTCCATGCTCCTTACTCTGTTGCCATTTCTGTTTGTTCCTTCCTCTTCCCTATTTCCTCATATTTACAGTAATATGTGAAATACATCAATCCTCTTATAGTGCTAGCCTAAGTAGATCTCACTCCTATGTAAGCCAGTTTACTTCTATGGTCTCAGAAGGATGTAATTGTACCTAGGACAGTACTATTAGACTCCTATCCCAAAGTCAGGTCACATCTGAAGTGGAGGTTGTGAAAAAAGGGAATGAGGTTTTGATGCCTCTCTTCCCTCTTCCTACTAAGTTTTCAACATTCTGTTTCTTGGTCAAATTCATTATAACACTGAATGCTGGGGAATGGAGTTGATTGATCAGTAAGTACTAGCAAAAGACTCGTAACTATGATGATTGATGTGGGGTGCAGAAAGAGGGTTTGCATACAGGAAAATCTGAATTTACAGATGTGAAAGAATGTGTGAGTAGTGCATCTCTGCTCACAGGTATGTAAGGAACATAAGAACATAAGAGAAGCCAATGTTGGTGTGAGTAGTGCATCTCTGCTCATCTAGTCCAACACTCTGTCACACAGTGGCCAAAAATACCAGGTGCCATCCGGAGGTCCACCAGTGAGGCCTTCTTGAAGAATCCTTCTTCAAGAATGACCAGACCACATGGTATTAGTACAGGCCCTCGCCCAGAGTCCTCAAGGGCAGCATTGCCTTTTCCCCAAAGGGAGGAATAGCAGGTGTTCATTAGTATTACCAAAAAAAAAAAAAAAAAAAAGGAAAAGGAAAAGGGAGGGGGTCACTCAAGGACACCATTGTGCTCGGGGCTTTCTGGGTCTGGTGAGAATGAAGATCCCTTCTCCTACAAGAAAGGGGTCTCAGTTGGCTAGTGCGATGATTTGTTAGAAGAGTGAAACACAGAATGGGGAGTTATTTTATGTTAATAGAGAGATCACTTCTTGTGGCCTAAATTTCTGTATACAAGAACTCTACGAGTTAGGCCATTTAATGGGATGGGGAATCGAATGTGAGAGAGGGTCAATGTCTAGAACTGAATGTCCATCACACACAGTTTATTGTCTGAGCAGGGATTTGGATCCACAGTGCATTTCTTTGGTTCAAGGCCAGTGAAAAGAATTAGATGCATGAGGTGGGGATTAGAGTGGATTAGACAGATTCATTTTTTTTTTTGATTAGACAGATTCATGGAGGATAAACCTATCAGTGGCTACTAGCCATGGTGACTAAAGGGAACCTCCATGTTCAGAGGCAGTCAGCCTCTGAATCCCAGTGCCAGGAGGCCGCATCAAGGGAAGGTCTTAGCCTCTATGCCTTGTATTTGGCCCTCCAGAGGAACTGGTTAGCCACAGGACTAGATAGAGCACTGGTCTGATCCAGCAGGGCGCTTCTTCTTAAGGCTTCTTCACAAGCCAGGTCAGGGACCAAAGGAGTAAATCAGAACTGCATCTGTATGCAACTCCCCCTCCCTGACATTCTGGCAGGATGACTTGGTGGGACTACACTTGCCTTGGGGCTATTACACAAAACTAGCACAGTTAGCTAAGGACCAGATTTGATCTGGGAGGTCTGTGATTAAGATTTCCTGTCCCCACCCCCCAGAAAAGCTAAAAGCAGCGGTGGGAGAAAGGGATTTAGATCAAGGCCAAGGCATGGGTAGGGGGAAATGACTCCTTCCTTTGTTATTTGCCCTGGGGGAGGGAGAAGCACACATCCCCAGGCGTTTTCTCTGTGGCACAAATAGCAGCTTGGGGAGGGGCTACCACTGAGAAGTAGAAAAAGGGCAGGGGGGAAAGAGATAATCACCACAGCAGGTATAGTCCTTGTCCAAGTGATATCCTTTCTGGCTGCTTGAATTCTCTTAATAATATGGCTGATCCTGATCTTGGATCTCGCCTAGTTTGACCCTGAGCCAGGTAGATTGGGGAGGGTTTTGTACATCTTGGCACGCTAGAGTGAGTTTGGTAAACTACAGATACTCTTTAGATGACAAAAAAGAGAAATGAGGTGGTAGAAATGCTTTCACCTGCTGGGATTTCTGAACACCAAAAGCTGTCAGTATGCCCATATAACTTGTCATTTTTGCAAACTTGCTAGAATTTCAGTTTGAGTTGAACGGAATCATTTATCTTGACGGCAACCTGGCTCAGTACCCTGGTTGGCATAGGTTTAATTGGCATGGGGATTGTTTTCTCCTTGGGCAACCGTACTCTGATAGCTGCAATGGAAAATGATCCACATGACCTTTTCAGGCTCTTAGCCAGCTGTTAGTACTTCCTAGTTTTTTGGGGGGGGGAGTGACATCTGTGTAGGTGTAAGGGCATGGGTATACTTTGTGGAGTTCGCTCTTCTTTACTTCTGCAAATATATTTCTGCCTGAGGCATTCCTCTGGGTGGAAATAAATGCATGCAGTGGGGAACAATCTGGTCTGGTTGTGCCATGGCTCTGCTCTGGATCTTCACGCATTCAAATGACTTATTTGCCCAAAGCCCAAGTGCATCACCTTTTGTCTGTGTGATCCCTACCTAGACATGTGAAAGTCTGGGGGGAAAACAAAACAAAAAAATCCGGAGAAATGTTTTTCCTGTTGTCTTCCCCCCCCCCATAGAAAAACTTGGAAATTTGGGGAAACACTGGGGGGGGGAGGAACTATGATCCCCCCCCTTTTGAAATGAGTCAAATGAGCTTTTTGAGACAAGGTTTTACTAACTCAAAATGTATAGTATGAAAAGCCTTGATGACTTTTTGGGGGAGAATTTTTGGAGAACAATGAAACAAATTAATTTTTTTCTTTTGTAACTGGTAAAATTGAGATAGCATAGGGTGCAGCAGTTTGCAGAGCAAGTATTCCTGCTTTGGAATAGCGGTTGTATAAACATGGTTTTTTTCCTGGAAAAAGAGGTGCCGGAACTTTCAGGAGGGAAATGAAGGAGAAATACATGGGATTCTTTGAAGCAATATCATGAACTTTTAAACATCTTTTGAGAATTGTGTTTCCACAAAGGGGTTCTAGAACTCCGCTCCACCGCATTCCCCTGGAAAAAAAGCCCTGGTTATAATTGGAAAACCCATCTTGTCTCTTAACATCTTTGGACAAATAATGCACAAGAAGTATCTAGATGGGACACAACTAGTCAGTTTTCTTCAACAGAATGATCACATCCAAGTTGGGTTATTCTGATGCACTTTATATGGGGCTGCCTTTGAAAAAAGGTCAGGAAATTTCAGTTGGTCCAAGATGCTGATGGCCAGGCTACTGTGGAGGACTGGATACATGGACTGCAGCACTTCTGTGCTCCTTTTTAACTGCACTGATTGCCCTTATGTTTTGGCCACAATTCAAAGTGCTGCTTCTTAGCTTCAAGGCCTAATGGCTTGGGGCTGAGGTATTTGGTATATGTGCTGCCGAAGCGAGCACAAGGGGCTAAGGTATTTGGAGGACCACTTCCTCCCATACCGACAGACTACCAGTTAAGATCCACTCCCCACACTCTGCTCATTGTGCCCCTGCATGCAGAAGTGAGGCAGGTGGTAACCAGAGACAGGGCTTTTCCAGCAGAGGGAATTTACCTTTGGTATGCCCTCCCCCAAGGCCCACCTGATACCAAACTTTAAGCGCCATGCCAAAAAATCTTATCCAGGCTTTTAACTGAGGATGTCCAGCTTTTTAAATTGTTTATTGCTCTACTTCAAGCCCAAGTGCTATTAAAATAATCCAGGCTCCTGGTGTTTTTACGCCCAGGCTGGGCTTTATTGTTTTTACATCTTGGGCGGGTGTTAATTCTGATGCTGCCTTGAACAGGTCTCTGAAGAGGAAGCCTGTAATTTTTCTAAATAAATCAATGAGGCATTGAATCTCACAAACTGGTTTGTGCTAACTGTATGAATCTGCCTCCTGGCTGTGTTTGTGCTGGTACCCACCACCAGTATGGCATACTGGCACCTCTTTCAGGCAGGGCTTGGACCGCCTTTTTGTGCTGGGGCCACGCTGGACTGATTGCTGAGAGAAGCTGCAGCTTGGCCCATTCTCAGCATCAATCCACTTCACAAGAAGGTTCATCTTTTAATTCTCTCTGCTTTCATCCCAGATAAAAGCTGGTTCATTCTTAGATTCATCTGTTTCAGTCATTTTTACAGTTGGAGAAACTGTATGCATTCATTTGATTTTGTTTCTCTTCTCTTAATAGAAAACATCCCACACAACGTCTGATGAGTTTCATCACCTTGTTTTATTACAAAGATATTTTTCCAAAGATTCTGCCATTTCCATTAAACAGCAGGTAAGGGTGGTGGTGGGGAACCACTTCTACATATAACATGACAAAGTTCAAAATATATTACAATGGCGGGGTTGGGTTCTGGGCAACAGCACCAACCCCTCTGCTTCTGGTTTGCAGACAACTTATTTCTTTTCAATGGTTGTAGCAAATATTTGGACGAAGAATTAAATAATAAAGCATATGCCATAACACACACAAGCCAAGCACACTGCTTGGAGCGCACGCGCACACACAAACACACAAGCACGCACACATACTCAGGATATAACAATTGGCAATGGGAGCGTAGAGAAGAGCCTCCCAACCTAAAGGACCAGTCCAAGCAGTGGCTTCCTGCACTTCTAATAGGGTACTGAAGAGCCCCAAATGAGAGTCTTGTCTTGCACCATGACCAACCCATTTTGACGGTGTGTTTTTTCCCCAGCTCCCTCCTCCAAACTGGATCTTCAGCAGGTTTTTCTGTCCATGTTCCTGAGATGGTGTGGAAGTGTGTCACTGGCAGCTCTTCACAGTTCCAAAGAAAGAAAGAAAGAAAGAAAAACTCTTTTCAAAGTTTAATGTAGCCCAGCTACATTTTAAATGTTTCTCTTCTGCAGTCATTTTCTCAATAAACACATGGAGATTTCTTCAGCCAGTGTTACATTTTGCAGTTCTCTTTTTCGTGTCTTATATTCCTTTTCATTTTTGCACTGGATAAAAGCTGTATTTGTTATAGACCAGTATAGATATAATACTATATAAAAACCCATCATGACACTTTGATTCCTTATACAATATTTTACACTGGGCATTTGGGAAAGATATAAAGACAGAACAACTACAGAAAGCAACAAGATTTCAATTGCAAACAAATGAACAGTTTGGTTCCCACCCAAGTGATTAAATACTAGCCTCAAACTGTGTAGCAACTCCCCTTTAGACCTTTTGCCCTTTGTGAGGTAGTGTAACATTTTTAAGCATTATTTGGCAGTTTCTAAGCTTGGTGTTGTCGGCAGCATCGGCTGGACGCAACGCTTTTGCGTTAAGTATGGATTTTACTCGCATGCATTGGCCATTTGCCTACAGGCAGCTACCGAAGATGCTAAAGGGGATTTCTGAAAGAGACACATGCTTAGGACCATGGCTGTTCTTCTTTACAGCAAAAAAAGAAAACAAAAACAATTCCTCCTGTAGTCGATGCAAAGGCATATGAAGAACAGTTCAGGAATTACATTCAGGACTAAATGATACTTTAATTGTACTAGCAAATGCAGAAGGGAGTATAGGATGAAGATCAGTGAGCTTATTGTCCCACTGGTTACAGACAGTTGTGTGTAACATTACCCCCATGGTCTTTGAAAAAAATGTTTTAATGGGATTTCTGGAGAGGACTTTGGGAGTAAAAGTGGGGGGGTGTTTGTGTTTAACCCTTTCCTCTACTCCAAACTGGTTTCTCAACCTGCCTTGCCCTCTGCAGGGCTCCCACGTGTGACTTTGTGAGGGCCAGACGTACAGCGGGGAGTGTGGTGGGGAGGAGAGACATATGAAACAGAAGAGGGGAGACAGGGCTAGGCACAAGTTGCCATTGATTTCAGTGGGTTTAGAAAGCTGCAACTCTGTTTAATAACTGCACTGTAACTTCCCTGTTCATCTTAGTTACGTCCTCCTACTTTGTTCTCCAGCCTTTGACTAAACTCTCAGATCCATTTCAAATGTTTTGGATGGAAATGCAGTTTCCCATACAGGTGCACAGGGAAGGGAGTGAAGTACAACTGAGAGCTCCCTGCCATATGTACCTGAATCAAACCTGCATTTTACACACTTGATTTTTTTAAACCCCCCCCCCCAAAAAAAAACCAATATGGTTTTAGTGTGTAGGACATATGTAAGTGCTAAATACATAACACAGGAAACAGCCCTCTAACAGCATAATGAACTTTCCATCATACATAACAATATGTTCCTTATGAGAGAACTTGGCTTAGGAACAGACACCATTTTTGCTTTATTGAAATTATACCACTGTTCTAGTGTTAAACCAACTGTGTTAATTTTGGATTTATGCTGGGCCAAGAGTTCAGCTCCGTTCATTCCCTCTAAAATAGCAGGGGGTAGAACAAAGGGAAGGAAGTGCTTCCCTTTGACCCCTGCAGTGTATATATATTTTTTCTTTTCTCCTTTTAGGGACAAGTATTCCTGAAGCCAGATGGGCATTGAGAAGGAATTTGTTGAATGAAATTCACGGTGCACAAACATCTGGGAAGTTCTGAGAAATGGGAACAGCTGCACTATTTGTTCTTTTACTGACACTGTCTGCTACACAATAATGATCCCTCCAGCAAGCTAATAGCCATTTCTGTTAACAGTAAAGTGCTTTCACATGTCATGACTACTTAGGAAGCAACTGCATTGTCTAGTCTGCAAGTTCCTCACCTTTTTCCAACTTTGGATGAAGGTGTGGCTATGTTTACGTGTACAGTACAAAAATAAAAGGCACAAAATACATCTAATGCAGCATGCTGTGTACAGTAAATGGATTCCCTGAAATTTAAAGTACACAGAAAGAAGAGGGGCACTGTCAGAGGGAATTTTACAGTTGCTTCAACAGCCTTTTAAAACCTCCATCTCTTATTATTCCCTAAGGCGTCTCTGCTTTTTTTGCCTAGCCAGTCCATCTTTGCTTTCATATCCTGGCCACCACAGTCTCTTTGGGAAAATGAACAGGAAGACGGCTGCTTTGAACAAGCATAGGAGCTCTTTAGAAGAAGCTACTATATTTGGCAGCCCGAGTGTTGTGCCTCTGTCTGAAAGATCAAATAAATTACAAGTGTCATGCAGTGCAGATCACATAAGGGATTTCAAGCTGTTCGGTGGACAATCCTCATTTCACCAGATTGGCTTAAGGAGATTGGTCAGCCCCACCACTGAATCGGTTTCTTAAGATACCATAAACATACAACAGGCTACATATTGACACACAGATACTTTGAAAGGGTGTTCCCCAAAGGACAGTGCACTGTAGAGAAGGTCACTTCTAGAATCAGAAGAAAGTCCGGGTTGCTGCCTAAGCCTCACTGCAGCACTCGTAGATGTTGTCTTCCATAAGTGCAATTACTTGCTCAAATTTGTGCTGCAGCTGCGTGCGTCTTGTCGTGGGGTTGGAGTCCAATGCAGTCACAATCTGTGGGAACATATATATATCTCCTTATATATAATTGAGTAGTGGGGTGGCACTTTCTGAACATTCCACATGCTCCTAAATCAGTTGGCTCCCTGATGTGTCACTCAGAAGCTGTCGCTATCCACTGGCTGTGTTGCCTGAGTCCCGCCCTTTCTGAACATTCCACATGCTCCTAAATCAGTTGGCTCCCTGATGTGCACTCTGAAGCTGTCCCTATCCACTGGCTGTGTTGCCTGAGTCCCACCCACAGAAGTGGCACCTGCCAAAACTTTCCTCAGAAGACAGTTGCTTTACTCGGGTGAACACAGGTACTCTCATTGCTATCCTCGCCAGATGATGATTGATTCCCTCAGGGGACAAAACCCACCATCTTTAGCCTCCAAGCCAGGTTTGCTGAGCCAACACTTTCCAGAACGGAACCCCCCACCAAGGAAGCCAGAGTTTGGGGAGGGGAGAGGCCTCAGCTGAACAGAATGCCATAGAGGCCATGCTCTAAAGCAGTTACTTTCTCCAGGGGACGGGGGAAGAGATCTGTTGTCTGGAGTTCAGTTGTGATACCAGGTGATACCAGATGACAGAGATCAGTTCCCCTGGAGAAAATGGCTGCTTTGGAGAGTAGACCCTATGGCATTATACCCTTCTGAGTCCTTCCACCCCCCCCAACGCTGCCCCCCAAATCTCCAGGTATTTTCCTACTGAGAGGTGGCAACCCTACTTTCCCCTCAGTGTTTGTTGCTAGGCAACCAAGCTTGGTTCTGTCAGTAAAAGGACCCTTCTACACCTATTTTGGCCTATGGGAGAAAACTCATTGGGGCCAGTCCTGACTAGGGTTGCCAGCTCCAGGTAGAGAGATTCCTGGAGATTTTATGGTAGTCTATGGAAGCGAGGGTGTGGGAGGGGAGAAGCCTCAGCTGAACAGAATGCCATAGAGGCCACCCTCCCAGGCAGTTATTTTCTCTAGGGGGGGAGAGATCTGTTCCCTGGAGTTCAGTTGTGATACCTGGCGATCTTCAGGCTCCACTTGGAAGTTGGCTACCCTAGGCATAGCAGTCAGTGCTTCAGAGCAGGCTCTGCTAGACCCAGGTTCTTGCTGAGTGGGTTATTTTGGACCACTCAAAGACTTTCAGCCTAATCTACCTCACAGGGTTGTTGTGCAAGTCAAAAGGGGGAGAGGAGAATGATGCTTTGCTTTGGTCCCCACTGCAGAGAAAGACTACTTTTCCTCCTGGGAAACCATTGTTGCCAATCTCCAGGTGAGGGCTGGAGAGCACTCAGAATTACAATAGTTCTCCAGATGGCAAAGATCAGTTCCACTGGAGAAAATGGTGGACTCTGTGTCCTTATGCCCTGCTAAGATAGCTCCACTATGATAGCCAATGTGACTTAGCAGTCAGGGCTTCAGAGCACGGTAGAGGCTGCAGGGGTGTGTGAGGGGAGATGGAAAGCTGAAGAGTGAGAGGGAAATAAAGGTAGGCTGATGATTGGCTGGGAATGAGATAGGGTTGCCAACTGCAGGTGGGAAATTCCTGGAGATTTGAGGCATTGAGCCTGGAGAGGGTGAGGTTTCAGGAGGGGTGGGACCTTAGACAGGTACAAGGCCATAGACTCCACCCTCCAAACCAGACACTCCCTCCTGGGGAACCATTGCTGCCAATCTCCAGGTGAGGGCTGGAGATCACTCAGAATTACAAATGCTCTCCAGATGGCAGAGATCAGTTCCCCTGGAGAAAATGGTGGACTCTGTGTCATTATACCCTGCTGAGGTTGCCACAGCAAATCGACACTGAGTGCCGAAGGCTGGGGCACTCTCCCAGAGTCTCTTTCTAGAGCTCATTGTATTTATTTCCACAACGAGCCTTATTCCTAGTATATATATATATATTTTAAAAGATTACTGGTGAGAAATATGCAATTGTTTTGAGATCACTGCTATTTAATTTTTCCCCACTCAAGAATTTAAAACCACCCAGCTGTTTAAGCCCATCTATTTTCCCTCTGTCTTTTCATACACAAAACCACTGCAAACCCAAGTGCACAGCTTTAGTCCAGATGTCACACGAAGGCACAGTTTAATTAAATCAACTGTGGTTAGTGTAACTGTCTGAATGCAGGCCACACCTAACTATGGTTGCTTAGCATCTGTAAAACTAAGAACTGAATCTAGAATCTGAAATTTGTTTTTTTAACCACAGTAAATCTTAAGGTTTTGTGCAATGTGCGAATGCAAACATCCTGGTTTGGTCCAGGTTTAATCCTGGCTTGCTCCCCGATGATTCCTTCTACATGGACATTACTTGTTGAATACTGTATCAAGTACCATTCTGCTTTGCAATGAGATAATGTTACAAAATCATCACCCCAGAAGTCAGGATCATGGTTGAGCATCATATGAAGACTGAGCCAGCAATGTCTGTATGCTGTGCAATCTTTTACATTATAAGGAGACCCTTCCAATATGGAAACAACAGGTGTGGTGAGCCACTAATACTCTAAATTCACAAGTTGTTAAGTAGTTCATATGCATAGCTTAACAATGATGAGTTTTCATTGGCTATAAGCAACAACAAATTTGTTCTCAAGGAGGGCCCATGGTTCACTGGCAGACTATTTATGTTGTATGGACAAAGTCTCAGGTTTGATTCCTGCATTCTCTAGTTAAAAGGATCAAGTTGTAGGTAATGTGAAAGATGTCATGCTGAGACCCTGGAGAGCAGCTACCTGTCTGGTTGCATATTTAAGCTGTCTCTCAAACCCCACATCGTTGGTTTCAACATGTACCACAACTACTGGCTCCTCCTCAGTACTGTCTACCAGCCTATCTAGACCACATGTAATGTCCACTACCTTTGCACCAGGCAGGCAAGTCACCATGTGGTCAGTATGTGCGTTTACAACCCATCTATCTACATGCCTAAGGATCAAATCACCAACTACCAAGAACCACCCTCCCTCCCTGCCCAGGAATGGTTCCTTGGTGTGAAAAGATACCTGTTCACCAACTGCAGAAGGGGATCCCTTCTGAGGGAACATTCCTCCTTTCTTCAGCACCGTGCCCTGTTTCCCCTTGACCCTCATGCTCCCTGGCAATGGTGGGGCTGCCATTCTTGGAGTGGGACACATCTAAGAAGTCCCCGGGGGTCTTATCTGTGTGACTAATTGACTGTCCCTGCTTCTCCAGGTCAATCACCTTGGCCTTGAGTGTACAGACCTGTTCTCTGAGAACCAGAAGCTCCTTGCACTGAGCACACACCCATGACTTCGGTCCAGCTGGCAGATAGTCATCCGTGTTGCACTCATTGCAATACATTGACTAGCCCCAGCCCCTTGCTGGCATTCTATCTTCATAACTGCTATTTTTTAAAAATCCCCTTTTTATAAATTTCCTATTTATATAGATTTGATTGTGCTTACTCTTTATAGGGACGTGGAGAGACTAGTGCCCTGGCTTCCTTACCCTGCTGCTGAACTCACATGTCTGCTAAACTCTTCTGCTTATTCCTTCATACCAGATACTTTGTCACTGGAGCTGGGACACTTCAGCACTGGAGTGGGGCCTGCTACTTCACAGAGCTGGGGCCTGCTCATAGGAACCCTAAATAAATAGCTTGGGGGGAAAACTCCACCCCCCACTGGAGCCAATCACACTGATTGGGAGCTAACCAATAAAGGAGGATGAGTGAGTCAGCCTCTGGTTGATTATCAATAGGTAATGCCAAAAGGGAGCTGCTCCGACAAATGCTCCTCTCCTTCTTATGCTGCCTTTTACAGGTTTTCAGCCCCAGGTTGGGAAATTCCTGGAGATGTGGTGGTATAGCCTTGGGAGGACAAGTTTTGGGGAAGGAAGCAACCTTAGCATGGTATAATGCCACAGAGTCCACCCTCCAAAGCAGCCATTTTCTTCAGGGGAAAAGATTTCTGTTATCTGGATATCAGTTTCAATTCCAGGTGACCCCCACCTGGAGATTGGCAACACTAGTTCCCCTGGAGGAAATGGCTGCTTTGGGATGGAGTCTATGGCATTAGATCCTTCCAAGGTCCCTCCCCTTCTTAAACCCCACCTTCCCCAAGGTCCACACCCCAAATCTCTAGGAATTTCCTGACCTGGGGTTAGCAACCCTATTTCCTTCCCACCCAACAGCCAACCTATGTTTATCTGCCCTTCTGTCTTAAGCTCCCCCCCCCCCCCCGGAGACTCTACACAGGAATACTGTGGCCCAGTTGTGTGGTGCCAGCCCACTTGTATGGAAGGGAACCCTCAAGGGCTTGTAGGAGTGGGACATCATTTTCCCCTGTATCTGCCTACCCACACTATTTCCTTTTCCTCTCCTCCTGGCAATTCCCATATCCTCTGCCCTTTTCCCGCCTCATTCTCTCCTTATCGGCCATTCACCAGCCTATCTTTTATCTGCCTCCCATCTTCAGCTATATTTGTTATTTATTTACCTCATTTATACCCTGCCTGTCTCCACAGATTGCGGGGGGGGGGGGGGACCAACTTCCCTCTCCTTATTTTTATCCTCACAACAGCCCTGTATGGTAGGTCAGGCTAAAAGTGTCTGATTGGCCCAAAATCACCCAGTGAGCCTCCACAGCAAGATGGGGATTTGAACCTGGGTTTTTCAGACCATCCTCTGAAGTTCTGACAGCTATATCACACTGGTTTTCATAAGGTGTCTGCTACCAAACACTAGCAGATAGCCAGGCCTAATTGAGTCATGCAAGTCTGGTGGTTTCGAGGCACCAAGAGGTTGCTGCCAACCTTAGGTGGGACCTGGAAATCTCCCAGAATTACAACTGAACTTCAGACAACAGAGATCTGTCCCCCTGGATAAAATATCTGCTTTAGACTCTGACATTATATCTAACTGAGACCAGTCCCCTCCCCAAACCCTGCCCTCCTCACACTCTACCACAAAATCTCCAGGAACTTCCCAACCTGGAGCTGGCAACCCCAGCCAGGCCTGGCCATGATGAGACCTTTCTCAAAGGCCAAAACAGGCCTGAAAAGGGCCCTACCTTTTACTGATAGAACCATGTGTGGAATCTTTGGTTGCCTAGCAACAGCCACTGAGGGAGTCTGTTGCTTACAGTTACAGGTGCTCCTTTCATCATTTTTAATTGCCCCCTTGTTTTTAGTTTTTTTTAAAGATTTCATATTTTTCTGCAAAACTGGAGCCCTTTTCAGGTTTGTAGAAAGACCTGTCTTGCCTTGTTCACATCTCCAGTCAGTGGATTTAAATATCCTCATATTTTGCTATTAGTTTGTAGATATAAATACACGGTCACAAGAATCAGTACCTTATAGTGAGAACTGCCTCCACCTATCAAACACAGGAAGTGACTTACCTGGTTGCGGTATCTCTTGGCATATTTGTAAATTTCAGTCATGGCAACATTGGTGTTAAACTCATTCCGACATTTCTATAAAGGACAAAACAAACAGGATGAATACTAATCAACATATACAAAGGGTAATCTATTCTATTTGACAGAAATCAATTGCACTAAAATGGTACTTGAATTTGATTCACTGTAAGCTAACATCAGCATATTTGAACTCTGGTTCCCTTCTAACTTAGTTAATTAATATGTGGCATACATAACTTCCGAACAGTGAAAAACAAAAATGAATCTAATGAGACCTAGGTCAATCACTTGAATGATATATACTTGCTTTGGCTCATGTACGGATTAATTTGCTTCCCAAGGTTACTCAAAAAAATATCGGCTGACATCTTTTTCCTATGAAATTTACGGGATCTTTACGTACATTTGAAATAATTATTTTTATTTCTTGGATGTGACTAAAACTCTTTGCTCCCAGACTCCAGAATGTTGTGCTGTTCCTGGCACAGTATGTACAAAAAGGTATAGAAATATTCTGGTGTAGACCCACTATAGAAGAGCTGATTTCTTACCCTGGACTCCTCTGCTAGGTGTGCATTCATTTCTTGTTCACTAAGAGGTGGCATGTCATGAATCTGTTTATAATATCTCTGCACTATTTTTCGGTATTCAGGAATCTCCTTGGCATACAACAGTTTATTAGTAGGTGAATCCTAATGGGTAAAACACAGAGAGAATCAATCAATATTTCATTGATTGTAGAGGGTAATGATTGTTTCCTTTTCTATCAAGTTAGGTATGTAAATTAAGAAGCTGTATTTCCTTCTGCTTGAAAAATACAATTGCATCAACAGATCTAGCACTGAAAAGATGACTTTTAGTACTCCAGTAAGAGCTGGAAAATTGTAAGCACATACAAAAACTGAGTGACCACATCGGTTCCCATTTCCATTTCTCAGTCCAGCAGTGTTCCTCTTACCTACTGTGGATTAAGCAGGAAGACTAGCATGGAACAAAAGAGAGAAGATCCCTCTGGCTAAACTCACTAGAACACAACAGGTGACATTTAAATTAGGGGCTTTTTAATCCCAGCAAAAGAACAAGAATGGGCCTATGAAGACAGACATGCTGCGTGCACATGAAACTTTATTTTGATGCTAGTGATTTGTTTCTCCCACTTTGCTCAACACACGATGCCTTCTTTTATGCTATTGTATTTCTGAAAACATTTCCATCTGCTGTCTGACCTCAGCTGACCTACTGTAGCCTAATTTACAGTTTGACAATGAAAAATTGTAGGCACTTTGTAACAGATGGGGGGGAAAGTTGACAAAACCCCCCAAACACACAACTCTTACCTTTCATTACAACTTTACCCCCATATTAACCCTGGCAAAGCGATTCCCTGTGCTTCCGCTGAGGAGTGGAATGGCTCAACTGTGGTGAATCACATCACAGGTGACCTTTCCCTAACCTGCAGCTTTCTATCACACACACTGTATGTGTGTGCCAGCACTGGGAGAGATGTGATTTACAACACTCTAATAAAATGTATTTATGCTGGAAAGTTTCAGTGTCAACACCAAAATCAGGAGAGGCATAAAGAAGGACACACACAGTCACTTTCTATTTTAGAGATTGAACTTGAACCTGAATCAACATACAGGGAGGAAAAGCAGAAGCCTATGTATGAACAAGAGAAGAAGCTGGATGGGGCCTTGCTGAATAGTCTGTCCTTGATCTAGAAGACGTATGCACAGGTTTCCATAGCATAACTGCGTTCTTATCTTCCTTGACTGTACTGCCCAGTCCCCTAGACAACTACACTAGTTAACTGTGAGTATTTATAGTAATAAACTTTAGCTTTAACGGTGTTTTAGCCTTAAACCTTTACCTGGTTTACAGGAGATTACTTGAGTAAGCGATCTCCAGTTGAACCTGGCTGATATGGAGAAAGTGTTCCTTGCTGCATACCTTCTATGACAGAAAGTTTCCTTCTGAACCGTGCAAGAATTACTTGCATGAGTAAACCTGTTCAAATCTGTTTTGCCTCCACTGAAATTATTATTTCTTACTGAGGCCATTCCGGAGGCCTGAGAACAAGCCGTGGGAAGAAAAGTGAGAGAGCCCAGGACTCCTGAGCCCATTCCAGCATAGATGCTGTGAGCTACCACTTTTAAAATATAAGCCAAACGGTAAGGTCGTCTCTCTGCAGACGTTGGGTAAAATGTTTTGAATACTCAAAGCTCTATAACCTTAAAAAAAGAGATTTATTCAAAATGAGAGAAACAAAGCATAGTCCTCAACATGAAGAAAGAATGCAAAATGTTCCTGTTTGGTTGCAATTTAGAAAAAAAGTTGGAACAATGCCAAACAGGCCTTTGTTGTAGTTAACAGTTGTGGCATTAAAAGATTCATGTCATAAATCAGGATTAAGGTTCAAGGGGCCAGGAAATCTTCTGAACTCCGTTAGAACATTGCATAGTCAGCTGAGGAAGAAAGAAGAAGAGGACGGAGGATATATACCCCCCCCCACTGCCACTTTGAGGGAAGTAGAATAGGTGTGACAAATACTAATAATGAGATGATTCTCTCTGTTTATATTTGTAAAATAATTCAGCAGGTAGCAAGCGAAGAGGTGCTTGTGTCTTCAAAATGCACTGTATACTTTTTAAATGGTTCATACAATCAAGCAGGCATAAAACACCAATGCCCAAAACAGCATTTCACATGAAAAGGCCAATCTCAGAACAGCCTTACAAATGGTCACTCAAAAAAACCCAGAGACAGTATTTAATTCTGGAAGTTTAACAGCTTGGCAGGAGCCTGGAGGTGGCCATTCAGTTATAACAGAATGTCGCCATCTTGTAATAACATCATGTGCTGTGTAACTACGGTTTTATACTTAAACTTATTTTAATGTTGTTTATGTTGGAGTTTTAATGTATATTTATACCTATGTTGTGAGCCGCCCTGAGCCCACCATGGCGAGGAGGGCAGCATATAAATCTAATAAATAAATAAATAAATAAATAAATTCAACAGAGTGGAAATAATTTTAAATCAGCATTTCAACCTGGTATCACTCCTTTAATGTTTTCTAACTAGAATCTGATGAAGTGACCCTTGAAATAGAAACAAAAGAAAATTGAAATAAATTAAAGACTTCATGCTGAAAATAAGCTCTCTCACAGAGCTATTCTGGTAAAATTGTAAAATGAGTTATACACCTTTTGTATATAAAAACATTTGGAAGATCATTCCTTTAGCTGATCTGTTAGGCTGTTTATTAGGGATTCATGCCAAGAGTTCAGCACCATCCATTCCCTCTAAAATGGTGGGGGGGCTCTACTGTATAGTACTGATTTCATCTGGCAAAGCTACATTTAATACTAATCAAGTGGGAAAAACTATGTATCCATCCTTAAAATCACAGTCTTTCAACATTTTGCCCAGTTTTTTTTGTTAGCCTGCAATTGTAAATAGTTCCCATTGTGTGTCTGGCTAAACTGATACCAGTTGCAAAACTAATAAAGACATTTTGTGAGGGACAGAAACATAAAAATGATTGGTAATTATATACCTTGCCCAACTGCAGATCAGAGATGGAGCAGGCATCGATAAACGCCTGGGCTATTACAGAGAGACAAGCATCTATGTGATCAGTTTTGTCGATGTCAAAGACAAACTGTGGGTTTTTCAGAATGTTGACCCAAAACCTCAGAGGTAGGCTGCAGGGGTAAACACAAAGCAGGGGTGATTATTACAATTATCTGTCTCTCAATTATAGGGTGTTGAAAATAGTAAAACATAAACAAAATGGCATTTTAAAAAGGAAGAGGGAAAACAATGTAACTGAAAAGTGCTTCAGCCATCATTTGGGCTGTGACACATTTCACAGATGTGTTTGTCACACCTCTTGTTTCTCTTTCCCATTCTCTCATACATAGTCCCATTCATAATACTCATGCACCCCACTCACATGCCACAGTTTCAGGCACAAGCCCAAATATTTCAATGGGTTTAGTAGGTTGTAACTCTGTTTAGGACAGTACTGTTTGTCTATGTGATAGTGCTGTCTGATCCCCTTTCTGCGCATCTTCCAACCTATAGCTCCATCTAGAACTTAGGCCAAGTGCATGGAATTCTGGAATGCTGATAAACATTACAGTTAACGAAGGCTCACTTAAATATACTAAAGCCAGAACACTTATACTCAATAACTGCAGAAATCTCAAAGACTGTACCTCAGAATTTTGTGGTTGTTGAGTGTATTTAATTTTGGGAGCACATAGGCCAAACCATTACTTTTCTGCAAATCTATGTTTCTCTCTCTCTCTCTCACCATAGCAAGTGCCTTAGCTGAATATATAAAGCTGGTACTGATTTTACAAAATCTGGAATAGGTATGCCTTTTTTACCTTGAGATGCATGTGCGTTTCATGAGGCAAATTACAGCAAATTACAGCACAATACTGACTCATGGGTAGGAACAGGCTCATACAAAATTTCACGTTTCCAGTTATAACATCTGTTACATATGTGTTTCTTTTGGGGGGTATTTTTTGTATTTTTTAAAATATGTGCGTGTGTCTGTGTGTGTGCACCTGGAAGTCATGGCAACCTCTGGTGACTGACCTCTACTGGGGGCCTGGAGGATATTCAGAGAGGTGGCTGAATAAAGCCTGCCCTGCCTTCGCATTTCAAGGAGGTTATCCCATTCAAGTACTTGCCAAAGTCGACCCTCCTTAGCTTCCGAGATCTGAGCTATCCAGGTCAGGGCTATATGTGTTTCTTATTTAATCTACTCATGTAGTTTTATTTACCTAAAATAGTTATTTAAAGTATTTGTAAGCTCACTTTTCTTCTAATATATTGAGACCCAAGGTGGGTAACAATGATGTTCTGTTCTTGGAGTCTCACCACAGTGAGGCCTTTAGAACACATCATCTTTATTTCTTACCTACAGAATCTAATTGGTCAACAACTGCAGGATCTGAATGCAACCGGGTGAGGGACTGATAGGATTGTTCCTTTGAGATAGCTTTTGAAGGGCTCCTTTGTTCTCTCTTCCTGGATTCTAACTATTCTGTCTTTTTGCCAGCACAGATATTTATCTGCTTGAAGTTATATTAGAGTTGGCAAAGGTGTCTGACTGGCTGCCTGGAAAATGATGTGCCATGAAATGACTACAGCACAAAGAACAGCAGCCCAAGTTTCTATGTATACATCTCCTTTTACCCACAGAGGCTGCCAGAGTTCATTAATCTCTTGGCTTTCAAACCAGAACTGCCATCACATCTGACCCCTGTGAGTGCTAATGTGAGCAGCTATTTGTTTAGGACATATCAACAATAACCGACAGGAAAAAAATGATTACTGTCAAACTGGACCAGGCAACCAACTGTCTCTGCTTCTCACCTTTAATAAGCCTGTCTACACTTGTCAAGCAGGAAAAAAAATCTATAGATCTGGATGTATTTTCTCAAATGTTCATGCTAACCTACAGCTATTTGAATATTTGCTGACACCCAACTTACTTTTATTTTTTGCAAGTTGGAGCTAGAATGGTTGTTTTTTCTGTGACAACTTAAAAGGCATCTCTTTAATAATCTCTGAGCAGCACACAGTTTCCCCTACTGAACAGTTCCCGAAGCTATTTCTGCCCCCCCCTCCTCCTCACCAATTTGCAGTACATACATTTTCCTGAGAAACTCCCATTAGAATTAGTGTCACTTGCTCAGGAGCACATTCAGAATTACTATCAGATTCTTCTTTCCCCGCCCATGAGCTGTTTTTGCATCTCCACCTTTGTACATTAAAACTGATGATAGCTGCTCTCAACTTAACATGATTATCCTTGTCCCACACCCTTAATCCTCCAATTCTTTTTACATATTTCTAGAGTCTCAGGTCTTTAACAGTATAATTTGTGAAAGTTTAAAAAGGATATTATTTCCCCAACCTATTGGTTTTCCAAATGTGCAAGGTGTCTGGATCAGAGATCCCCCGTTTCTCTGATTGTTCTTCCAGGAAATCAAAGAAATACTTGATAGCCACGGGTGGTTTGTCCTCTCGGATACTTAGAATGGCTTTGAACAAATCATCCAGGAATTTCTGAAGTGTGCCCTGATGAACAAGAACATTCAAAATTGGTCTAAGAAAGCAGAATATATAGTGGTCTAAGGCATTAAGAGATTACTGTTTCCCCTCCCCCCAACACAGTTGAAGAAAGCTCACTGGAAAATGGCTGAGTGAAGGGGATATCAAAACAGATCTGATAGGAGAGAATGGGTTAATTCTCGGCATAGTAATATAATTCACTTAGTTTGCATTTAATCTCTTTTGGCACTGAGACTCTCCTTCTCTGTTGCTGGAATCCAAAAGCACATCTGTGATTATTCTGTGTGGTAAACAGTGAGAAAAGCTACAGACCCCTGGCAACTCTTATGATCTCTGCTCCAATTATGAATTACAAAGCAATGGAATTACAGACTGGCTTAAAGCCAAGCCCTGTGTCCAAGTTTGTTAAGAGCAATAATACTGATGCTTTAAGTGGGTCTTAAATCTCAATCCAGGCTGAACTCTTCTGTCCCACTGAGCCAGAGAATCCCACACTTTGCAGGGCTGATGCTGTACTAGATTTCTGAGGTTGAGCTCCAATGACGTCAGCATTGTTCTCCATCACTGTTAAGTGCAGGACATACCTTCACTACAGACAGAACCACATTTCCTAAAGAATACTGATGCCATTTAGGCAACAATGCAAAAAGTAGAATTTCTTGACATACAAGTGTCTGAAAGGTCCTCCCCCTCCATTATATCTAATTATATTTTTTGAAACACATACCAAGCTAGGACACACATATTAATTTGTCAGTACACTGGGGGGCGGGGGGGCGGGGAGAATGCATGTTATATAACAAGTCATGTACCAAAAGTGTAACAGCTGCTCCCAATAGGCAGCTATGATTTGGGAGGGGATGACTTGGAAAAGGGAGGTGGGGCAGTAGACAACCCTTTCCCCCTGCAACTCTCTTCCCAATGCTTCTCCAAACCCTACAGAGCATCAGATTAGGCCCTAGAAACCCTTGAGGAAAAGCGGCTTCAGGAGGATGTATTTGTAGGGAGGAAGTGGCAGGCAATGTGAGAGTTAAACATCCTCTTCCCTCCTTTCCCAGTTCCTGTTACCCCCCCCTACCAAATGCACTAGCCAACAAAAGTGGCCATGAGCATGAGGGATTTATTGCACACAGTTTTAATTTAATTATATGAAGTTTTCCAGCCAAGGACCTCAAAGTGGTTACAATAAAAACATCACAAAACAATTCTTAAAAACAAGGTACAAAATACAAAAAGTCCAGAAAAAGCAGCCTTGGCCCATAATATGTAGTTCCAGCCTGAGTCCCTGAAGGATAAATATCAACTCAAAATCTTTCCCAGTTTACAAAACCTTTTGTGCCTCGTCACCTAAAAGGGATCGTTATTTGTTCCAGGTGAGTGCCCATTCTGAAAGCACAAAAGCACACAAAAATTCCAACATGGACAGTCTCTTTAATGTGAATTATTACACAGATGTGGCCAAACCCCTCCCTGTAAATATTCCCTGTGAAAGCAGCCTAATAAATTCCTACACAGCAGTAAAATCACACAGACTTCAATGAGCCTGCTTCCAAGTAGGTATGGACAGGACCAATGTTCCCTCTAAGCTGTGGAGTCCTGTGAGCAAAAATTCTACTTTGTGAGCTACCAGCATTAAAGTTGTGAGCGGGCAGGTGATTTGGCTACTGCATACATTAGTTTGCTCTGGACTGGATAATAATCCTCCCTGAGCTAAGAGAACAATGTGTGAGCCGGAGGCTAAAAAATTGTGAGCTAGCTCACACCAACTCAGCTTAGAGGGAACACTGGACAGGACTGCATCCTAAAGTTGCTCCCAAGTAAGTGTCTCCCTGGTTCAACACACTAACCGGTGTGACACGCTGTCTCTCCTCTGGGATTTGATAACGAGACAGCTGCAAAATGGGTTGATTCCTGCCACTGTTGCTAGAAGACAGTTGCTGCTCTTCCCACCCATGGGGCCAGAATGTCTCTTACCTTTGTGGAGAGCAATCTGGTCAGGTAGATTTCAGGAAGGACTTTTTTCCTATGACTCTGCCGATGAGATTTCTTATTTTCATTCAGTTCATCCGTGGGAAGAACCTAATGGGGGGCGACCAGGATTATATATGGTTGAAAATTAACTTTTTAAAGCTGACAACAAAGCATTTGTGTTACAAAAGATAATAAAAGAGAGGGGAGAAAGAATGATACTCCATGCTGTAAACCAGACCATTTAGATTATGAACACTGAAACAATATTAAAAATAAATTGCACTATTTGCCAGCTGTGATGCTTGATTCCTTTCCCCCCCTTTAATGAGCAAATATGTTTGCTCTACATTCAATTTATAAAGAACTCAGCTGTCTGAAACATCAGCAGACACAATACTCTTTTCCCTTCTGGTAATTGGCAATCATTATAAAGGTAAAGTATGTTAGAAAGATATATGCAAGACTGTGATCAAGACAAAAAAAATGGAGTTTCCCCCTTCACCCTGCCAAACAGAATGTGTTCAATTATTATCTTATTATGCAAACAATGCAGAGACCGCACGGGTCTCAATCGCCCTACCCCTTTCTCCTTAGTGGGTCTGACTGTTGGCCAACAAGCTGGCCAGTTGACAAATGTATCAGTCTGCATACGCTGTACATATGGAAAGCATTCCAAGGTTTGCCTTTGATGATAAACTATGTTCAGCATTACTGCCCTTTGGTTGTACATTGCTAAACTGCTGTAAGGTGGGGGAGGACAGCAGCGGCTTGTTTCCTAACAAAACTCCTTGACAACTTTCATTGGACTGGGTCAGCCTGCCTCCCACCCACCAAAGCATTCTGGTGAAACAATTATTTCTACAGCCTTGTTTAAGTGTTGTGATAGGCGCATACATTGATGGAGTTTATTTAATTAGCATGTGCCACGTCAATCACACGCTTTCTTGATGTATGGGTCCAATTCCCAAATAAAGGGGAGCCAGAGGAGTGAAGAAGAAAATGAGCCCCTAAGGAGAATATGCTTGGCCCACCCACAGGGGAAGAGTCATTATCCCCAACTGCTTTTGGAATAAGATACTCACCAAATGAAAGTATTTTTCAGTGTCCAAATCTTTCACTGAAGGAGAAAAAAAAAAGATTTGAGAAAATGAAGAAACGGACTCAGTTTGCTATTTAGAAAGAATGTTCGGATAATTCTGCTGTTCCTAAGGATACTGTGTCGGATGCAGCGCAAAATTTCTGCTTGCTTTAGATCTCTTATGAAAGTGGAAATGCAAGAAAAAGACCGGGGTAGCCGCATGCATTAAGTCAAACTTATTAAGAACATAAGAGACGCCAATGTTGGATCAGGCCAAAGGCCCATCCAGTCCAACACTCTGTGACACACAGTGGCCAGAAATACCAGTGCCATCAGGAGGTCCACCAGTGGGGCCAGGACATTAGAAGCCCTCCCACTGTTGACCCCCCCACGCACCAAGAAGACAGAGCATCACTTGCCCCAGAGTCCCTATCTATACCTTGTGGCTAATAGCCACTGATGGACCTCTGCTCCATATGTTTATCTAATTCCCTTTTGAAGCCGTCCATGCTTGTAGCCGCCACCACCTCTTGTGGTAGTGAATTCCATGTGTTAATCATTCTTTGGGTGAAGAAGTCCTTCCTTTTATCCGTTCTAGCCCGACCGCTCAGCAATTTCATGGAGTGCCCACGAGTTCTTGTATTGTGAGAAAGGGAGAAAAGTACCTCTTTCTCTACCTGCTCTATCCCATGCATACTCTTATAAACCTCGATCATGTCACCCCTCAGTCGTCGTTTCTCCAAGCTAAAGAGCCATAAGCGCTTTAACCATTCCTCATAGGGAAAGTGTTCCAACCCTTTTATCATTCGAGTTGCCCTTTTCTGCACTTTTTCCAAAGCTATAATATCCTTTTTAAGGTGTGGTGACTAGAACTGCACACAGTATTCCAAATGAGGTCGCACCATTGATTTATATAGGGGCATTATGATATTGGCTGATCTGTTTGAAATACCCTTCCTAATAATCCCCAGCATAGCATTGGCCTTCTTTATTGCAGTCACACACTGTCTTGACATTTTCAGTGAGTTATCCACTACAACTCCAAGATCTCTCTCTTGATCAGTCTCTGCCAGTTCAGACCCCATCAATGTGTATTTATATTTGGGATTTTTGGCTCCAATGTGCATCACCTTGCACTTGGCCACATTGAACCCCATTTGCCATGTTGATGCCCACTTGCCCATCCTTGACAGATCCCTTATTGTATCCCAGGTTGTGTTTCTGTTTGCTTATGATCTTCTGAAACCAATTTCTGGGCACTATCATATATATTGGTGATAGGTGTTGCACATGACCTTATGCAAGTGGAACTGCGCTAAGTCTATGTTTCTGCTTGCACATTGCTGAATCCAACCCAATGAGTAGTAATAACACATAGTATAATTACTGTGCATGGAACACAAGTAACATTAGCTAATGAAACGTTCACTAACTCAGATGATCTCTCCATGGTTTCTGATAGTGAAATTTGTGTCTTGTAATTGGAGAACCTGAGGCAGGTTTAACTGAGATGGGAATGTAGAAATTGGCTTCCAGTGTTCTGTTCTCCAATGGTGAGATTACAGACTAGCTGTGTGTGGCCTTGGCTGCTCTTCATTGCTGAACATTTGTCAGCTCCTTGGAAACTGCATGAACAGAACTTTGGGGAGAATCAGATCTGATTAACTGGAAAAGAAGGGATTACAGATCCCAGATTCCTCACCATCTACTTAGTGACATTTATCTGGCGGCAGGTAAAACTGCTGCATCTATGTGTAGCCTCTTTTTTTCCATTGCATTAGCCTTCAGGGGTAGGAATACAATAAGAAAATGCATGTAATGTGAAAAGTAGAATCTAGGACTATTCTACCACCACTGCCCCATCAACACACACAAAGGAAGGCTGGGCTTATTCATTTCACTCAGGATTCCTACAGCAAAGGACCGATGAAATATGCGGCCAGTCAGATGTGATGCACTCCATTTATACGTTCAGGCACTGGTGGGGTTGCAGTACAATTAGCCAAAATAACACTGAATACTGCAATATTGTGCAAACAAAACATTGATTATTCAAGTATAAATGATTACAAAATTACAAGATTACAATAATCCTATGATATCATTAACAGATGACTAAATTCTCCGGAGTCGGTTTTCGTTTCATTAGAACAACTTCTGACATCCAACTACATAAAGATGTGTCTCCATAGGATCAGTCCCATTCCAAATGGATTCAACGATTCACAGAAGAGCAAATTGTGGGCTAGTCAATTTGCAGGCTAGTCAATTTGCACTATGGTTTGAGGAATACAAGGAATGAATGTTATGCTCTTCTGTGAATTGTTGAATCCATTTGGAATGGGATTGATCCTATGGAGACACATCTTTATGTAGTTGGATGTCAGAAGAAGTTCTAACGAAACGAAAACCAACTCCGGAGAATTTCGTCATCTGTTAATGATATCATAGGAATTATTATTGTAATCTTGTAATTTTGTAATCATTTATACTTGAATAATCAATGTTATTTGTTTGCACAATACTGCAGTATTCAGTGTTATTTTAGCACTCCATTTATACTGCAGATGCTTAATTAAGGATGGTTGCTCGTAACAGACACAAAAAAGGACAAGCATTTATTAGAGAGGAAAATGAAATAGGCTTATCTTGTATCTAGTATAGAGATGTGAAGGTCCATAAAAAGCTGGAAACATTTGGAAAATTCCAAGAGGAATGAGGACAGGAAGTACAAGCCAGGCATGGAAATGCATCATAGTGAGGAACAAGTCAAGGTCCAGAGTCACAGAGGAATCCTCTCCACCAGTGAAGGACCTTGCCTCACCATCCTACAGCTCCTCTCACCATGCATGCAGAGAGGCCAGTGACATAGCACTACTGCCCTCTACACAAACTCACTAGCAGTCCTTCCAAAGAAGAAGAAGAAGAAATTGGATTTATACCCTGCCCTTCACTAACCAAAGGAGTCTCAGAGTGGTTTACAATCTCCTTTCCCTTCTCCTCCCCACAACAGACACTCTGTGAGGTAGGTGGGGCTGAGAGAGCTATTTCAAGAGCTGGTCTTTTCAGAACAGGTCTGAGAGAACTGTGACTGAGCCAAGGTCATGCCAGCAGCTATATGTGGAAGAGCAGTGAATCAAACCTGGTTCTCCCAGATTAGAGTCCGTGCTCCTAACTACTACACCAAACTGTCAAAAAGCAGCAAAAAGAAATATGGCAACTCTACAGGGGCTCATGACCCGGCAGGTGGGGCTTCATGACCTACCTGAAGATCCAGACTAAGGGTGTGCGCTTGGTATATACCGAGCCAAATAAATGTCTGAAAAATACCTTATCAGTATTTTTCAGGGATTTATTCAGACGAATCAGATTTTCTAATCTGATTTGGCTACTGATCTAGCTGAGCCAGAATAAAAGCTGATATTATTCGGCTTCTATTTGGGCTCAGCCGAAGTGGCACGAGTTCACCCATCTTTAAATGGCTTTTGTAAAGCCAAGCCACATGCATGCCTTCCCTCTCCTCCCCTCCCTGAGTTGCACCATGGCAGGGGCATGCATCACCAAGTAAAGGCATTTAAAGCCTTCCCTTCCCTCACTGAGGTGTGCCGCCACCATAGCACAACTTGAGGAGGGAATGTATTTGAAGTTTAAATACCTTCCCTTCCATCCTTAAGTTGTGCCACAACGGCAGCCCACCTCAGCAAGGGAAGGGAATTAAAGTTTAAATACCTTCCCTTCCCTCCCTGAATTGCACTGTAGCGGCAGCACACCTCAGCAAGGGAAGGGAAGGTATTTAAAGAGACCACAGTCTCTTTAAATGTGTTTCCTTCCATTCCTGAGGTGTGCTGCCACTCGGGGAAGTAAGAGAAGCTATGGATCTGAATAAATTTGGCAATACTGATTATTTCCCAAAGCCCAATATTATACCAATACTGGGATTCAAGAATATCAGTATATACCGATATTTTTCAGATTTGGTATACTCGAATCCAAAAAATACCGATTTTGTGTGTGTGCCTAATCCAGATCCATGGGTCGAAGACCACTGCTCTGTCCTAAGGGAGGCAGTTATGAATTTTCTTTCCAGATGTCCATATATTCCAAACAAATGAACCTTTTGAGACTCTGTTTGCCACAAAAAAAGCAGAGCAGCACTTTTGTAGAGACCTTTAAGATTCTTTCAGGCAGTACTGTGAACTACCATGTTTCCCCGAAAATAAGACACTGTCTTATATTTATTTTTTCTCAAGAAGACACACTAGAGCTTATCCCACAAATGCATAGAAATCCTGCTAGGGCTTATTTTTGGGGTAAGTCTTATTTTCGGGGAAACAGGGTATTTTGTTTGTAAGTTTCACTCACAAAGTACCACGGTGACTGCTGAAACTTTAACATACCTATTTGCAGGCCACTTACTCAGCTAAAAGCCATTCTACATAGTGTCTGAGGTGGGTGGAGATTAGCAGAGTGGTTGTGACACACAGGGGAAAAAAGATGACAGCCCTTCAAGTACAAAGTTCAACAAACAAGCCTATTTAGCAATAGTGAAGAGAATGACCTCACAGCGACTAGTCTCAAGGCAAGAGCTATGTTACATTTATGGATAGCTCCAGGCCTAGCCCCTATTCCAGCTCTGCCAAAAATACTCCTCCTCACTACTCTTTGGATACTGATCCCCCCCCCCTTTCAGACTGCTGGCTGCCATTCAGAGAATGTCAGGCACTGCAGAGAACAGGGCACTAAGTGTCTCTGCTCCGCCTTTCTGTCTCTTTGTCTAGCCATCAATCCTGCTCAGTTTCGTGGAGGATGTTGAAGGCTTTGAGATGAATGGTAGGATTCAGTGACATAAATCACTGCAGCTAAATCACTGTGGCTGTTGGAGAGATGTGGATCTTGAAAGTCCTAGTTACAAACAAAGCAATGTCATGATGGCTGATTATTTCTAGACGACAAGATTTTTTCATAGCGCCATAAATGTCTTCACCTTGAACAGAAAAACAAAGGGCACCTTCACATGCCAGGCCTACATCACTTTTAAGAGTCTCTCGTGCTATTTACACGAATGTTTCCTCAACTGTTAGTGTAGCACAGAAAGTGGAGGAGAAGCATTTGTAATGCAAATGAACTTTTTGGCTAATATAGTATTTACATTTGCATTACGAACCCAAATGAAGTAAGAATGAGCTGTAAGCTTCACATATGAAAATGCACAAACAGCACTTCTCCCAAGACGAACATACTAGAGTTGCTGCTGGATCTTTCCACATTGTAATGGAATTGCATTACAGTGTTGCTGGAACTTACTAACCCAGGATTCAGGAATAGAACAGAAGAATAGAATAGATTGGATTTATACCCCACTCTTCACTTGGAGTCTCAGAGTGGCTTACAAACTCCTTTCCCTTCCCCTTCCCCTCCCCTCCCTGTGAGGTAAGTGGGGCTGAGAGAACTCTTTCCAGAACTATCAATCAATAAACCTTTAATAGCATATACAACATTAAAATTTCCAGAACTATCCTTGAGAGAACAGCTCTGAGAGAACTATGGCTTGCCCAAGGTCATCCAGCAGCTGCGAATGGAGGAGTGGGGAATCAAACCCGGTTCTCCCAGATTAGAGTCCGCACACTTAGCCAATACACCAAACTGGCTCTTGTGTTTTTTTTGGAAGGGATCAGGATGATGTGGGCTTCTGAAATAAAACAAATCTGGACCTGGCAATGCATTCCGGGGGAGAAATTCCACCTCCTTTTTGCCAAAGAGAAATAGTGTACACACCTTCCCAGAAAGAGCACACCCATGAAAAGCAGTCTGGACCAGAAGGAAGGCAAAGCAAGAAAAAAGAGAGAGGGAGATGAGGTTTCCAGGCCAGGGCTCTAGTGCTTGCCTGTTGCCTTTGAGAAGACGGGAGCTGGGTCCTCCCCACAGCTCAAAGAATCAATCAAAATCAGCTGCCTCACCCACAGGCAGAATCACAGCCTTGTTGCAAGGAAGATCTAACCACCTTGAACCTGCGGCTATGAATACAGTCCAGAGACAAAGAGGGCCAGGTCTCGGAGTCTGCACACAAGTGTGTTGCAGTGTTTCCCCGTGAAGACAGATCAAGGTGGGTAGCCGTGTGTCAGTCTGTCTGTAGCAGCTGAAAAGAGCAAGAGTCCAGTAGCACCTAAAAGACTAGCGAAATATGTGGCAGGGTATGAGCTTTTGTGAGTCACTGCTCACTTCTTCAGATCTTCAGTGACACACGAAAGCTCACACCCTGCCACATACTTTGTTAGTCTTAAAGGTGCTACTGGACTCTTACTCTTTTCTAGTGTTTCCCCATGTTATGATGTTCCACAGTTTTGAAGCAAACCCCTTTGTAAGTCTACCCTGAAATTTCTGTGCTGGAGAAATGGGAGGATAAGATAAAGAACAACCTCAGATCCACTAAGGTCAGTTTTAAATATATATGTTGTATATCAAATTCTCCCTTTTCATAGGAACTCTTGTTTCCTATGGAGGCTGTAAACTGAAGAGGCAGACCAGTGCAGGGCTGAAGGAATTAGTAACCCCCTTCCCTTTGGATGCTCTTTTAAAAATAAATATCAATACCCATAAGCTACTTTTTGCTGAATGCGGTATAGGGGCCTCCACATGAAGCTGCCTTATATTGCATCAGGCCCTTGGTCCACCAAGGTCAGTACTGACTGCTCACACTGGGCAGCGATTGTCCAGGTTTTCAGGCAGAGGTCTTTCACCTGACCTCCTACCCAATCCTTTTTTAGCTGGAGACACTGGTGATTGAACCTGGGACCTTAATGCCAAGCAGATGCTCTGCTACTGAGCCACAGCCCCTCCACAGGCCAACAACAACAACAACAACTCTGAAGGGGGATGAGATGACTTTTAGCAAGGAAATAGTATGAGGGACAGTTAAATCCCTCTTCACTGACACATACCAGTCTTCTGTTTTAGCTTTGCAGCCTTCATGGGTACATTTTGTACAGCAAAAAAAAGTTGGGACAAATGATGCAGGATAAATTTTGTAAAATAATTTTTAAAATATGACTGTCATGCCTAGCTCAGCACAGTCAGGTAGTGATTTGGAATGCATAATCTGATTTTCCACTCTGGGGAAAACCAACAAAGAAACTGTGAAACCCAAAACATAATCCATGACTACTGGTGAAGGAAACTTACCTCTACTTAGAGTGGTATCTTTCTTATCAGTTAAACTCATAGCTAGGGAGGCACCATCAGGGACCTGTCAATGAGGAGAAAATAAAGAAATGGTGTATTAGGGACATGCACCTTAATTGTGACTCTCTAACATCCAATTTATGAAGACTGAAATTTAATGCATTATTTTCTGCATTCTACTTGAACATATCTTAGGCTCTAGTAATGTAGAGGTGATGCTTTCAATAAGGCTGAGACAAATGAAAAAATAAAAATAAAATTCCCATTTCAGCCCTGTACATCTGAAACCTTGTAATGAGAAGAATATTTCTCCTGAAGGAAAGATGTCACACACATCTCCGCATGAGCCTTGTTTCATGCATACAACAGACTCTTGGATATTATTTTGCCAAATATATCATCCCAACTCTACATTTACAGAGATAAAAGGCACGAGAAAGCACTGCCAGCAAATGGTGATGTTTGGTGAGCAAGCAAATGAGAGGGGATATTCTACCCCTGGCTGGTATCCCCCCCCCCATGCGCCGCTTGTGTTCACTTCTGGGGCTTTGGATTGTGACAGGATAAAAGCAAAACCTTAATAAATGACTAGATTGAAAAGTATTTGTAAAAGAATCAATAGGTGCAGAATGGGTTAATGCTTTCCAAACAATTCCCCCATGCAAATATTTGTCTAGCCCCCCCTCCCCCAATTAACCATATGAGGAAATGGAATCCTTTTGTTTCTTTTGTAGCATCTAGATTTGTGCTTAGGTTGCATCCATAACTGGGTCTTTTTTGTGCAGCCCATTATTGATAACTGCATGACTAACTGGTATAGTTCACAATGCATCTGTTAATATGACACTATTTAGAGCTCCACTTCCTGTTTCTTTGTGTGTGTATGTGCCCTTCTTTCACTAAAGAAGAACAACCATTCCTACAATTGTTCTGGGCACTGAGGTCTTGCCTGTCCCTCATTATTAGAGCTTTTGAAAAATACTGAAATGAGTATACACTATTGCTCCATATTTATCGTAGAATTTCTTTACACTATATCCCAGCTACTTAATGATCCTGTCTCAAGATTTTGTGCCTTTTGTGCCTACATAAGAACATAAGAGAAGCCAATGCTGGATCAGGCCAATGGCCCATGCAGTCCAACACTGTCACACAGTGGCCAAAAATAATAGGTGCCATTAGGAGGTCTATTAGTGGGGCCAGGACACTAGAAGCCCTCCCACTGTTGCCCCCCCCACCCAAAGCACCAAGAATACAGAGCATCACCTGCCCCAGACTGAGAGTTCCTATCTATACCTTGTGGCTAATAGCCACTGTTGGACCTCTGCTCTATATGTTTATCCAATTCCCTCTTGAAGCCATCCATGCTTGTAGCCTCCACCACCTCCTGTGGCAGTGAATTTCATGTGTTAATCACTCTTTGGGTGAAGAAGTACTTCCTTTTATCTGTTCTAACTTGACTACTGCATTAAATGTATTGGAATCATAGGTACAAATTCAAAGCTATGTTAAAACAAGCATTAAAAACCTGAGCTTGTACTTATGCATATCTGCATGCAAAGATCTGTGCAGGGACAAAACACATGAAATGTAACTGGAATCCTGGTAAAGATGCACTCGTTTCAGATGGATATTTTTCTTCCGCTGAAGAATTATTATGGAAAGAATTACTTCAGAATGATAAATCCACAGATTTTTCATGACTGTTCTTCATACAGGAGACGACAGAAATCTAATATCCTGTTTTCAGAGACTTTTGCAACACCTACGTGAATTTTTCATTGCGACGTTCTGCAAGTGTATTCCTCCTGGGGAGTCATTCCAAAGTACCACTGTGGAACAGTCACATGGCAAGGCCTAATTTGCAGGCATGGCCACCTGTTGTTTCACTGTTTTTAATGAAACAACATGGCCCAGCTCAGCATGGCATGTTGTTTGTATGAATTTGCTTCCTCATGATCTAGCACTTAGTGGCCCGTGACATACCTATTTGCATGAAATTACAATATGTGCATAAAGTTACTTTAAATACAAGCTTAAATTTCTCAAGTCTTATTTCAAAGAAAGTTATTTCTTCAAAGAAAACAAAAGAAAATAGGCCACTTGCAGGCCATAATTGACCAATGGGAACTCTGTCACCGCTACTAGTTAGAAGGAGGAATGGTCTGATTTTAATTAGGATGGATGGCAGCCACTGGGAATAAGAGGCTTTCCCCCCCAGCAATAACTTGTTTTGCATGAAGAGCGTTTAATTAGTCTCGATGTGTTGCAATATTAACGAGTTTCTCGCCAGGGCAGATGTCTGTTCCCCGGAAGCTATCACGGAGATATGGCAACCTCCCTGCTTGCGTCTGCTAATCCTGCTTGGAAAGCAAATCCTAGAGTGTCCCTAAGGAAAAGCAAGCCCAAAGGAAGGGAACTTCTTGGAGCATTCACTCTTTTTACCTTATAATGTGCTAGCGTGTTCAGTTTCTTCCTGCCATCCTCCATCACTGACGTGTCATCAAGGTCCCGAAGGATGTAGCTGTCAGTGCTTGTGGCAAACCATTCTAAACACAGAAAATGGAATAAATGGAAGCCCCGCCTGAACACTGCTTGTGCTGGCAAGTATTCTGATGCCACTTTTGACAAGGGACACAGGTGTCTCAGTGCCAAGCTCTGCTCCTCTAAGGGCCAAATGCAGACACCTTCAATTACTCATGGTGGAAATCTTCCAAAGTCAACCCAAGGAGGTGAAAATATGAAAGTTCTTCACCGTATTCTGATTTATATGCACCTTTCACAATGCAAATCCTACACCAATTCAAGCACTGCACATATATTTTTACTGTGCGTAAATGAAAGAAATCTGGTAACAAAATAAAAGCATCCAATCTCCAAGTATATGGATTTTTTTAAGTAAAAAAAAAATTAAACTAACATATCTTTTTGAACATGTTTATTTAATTCAACTGATTTCCAGTGTATTAGTTGGACCCCACAGTGGGTCAGGAGGCTGGACCAGGGAGGAAGAGATATATCTTCCTTTGTCCTCTTCCATTAGTGGATTTGCACTGACTGAAAGGGCAGGAAGAATAATTTCATCTCCTTTCCCCTTCCCACCGCGGCCTCCCAAGCAGGTATTAGTCCATGTTGGTCTCACAACTGCAGGAATAAACTTCCTTGGGGTTGGAAAAGACTGGTGGAGTAGGGGAACATGGGAAAGTTTTGTGACCGTCAGTGTTTTTTGCTGACAGGTCCTGGATCACATCTTAAAGAAGATACTGTAAACAATACTAAGGTCTGTTTATTAAAACCTCATCTTGCTTGTTGCTCAGTAGCTAATATCTTTTATAATAAAGATTACTCCTGCAACTACTACAGTGTGTTAGGTAAGAAGAAGCCAAGAAGACCTAATTCTCAATCATGTACTAATCCTTTACCATAGCTGCACCACTACTCAGTGCAAGTGAGGCTTTCTTGTCTCAGCTGATACTGCACCTTCTGCCTAGTATGTAATTCAAATGCCCTCAATTTCACCTTATGCCAGGTTTTGGGGGGCTCCACAAATTTCACCTCATTTTGTCCTCCCTTCTGTCAGACTTGCCCTTTCCCACTGTCAAAAGCCATTTTCTGAGGTCTGGCGGTGGTTACTAGCAACTTTCACATTTACCCCACTTGCCTTTCCGCAGAATACACTATAGACCAATCAGCAGCTCTTATCCCTTATCATGAGACAAATGTAGTACAGTAGCGCAAGACAGGATGCTTAGCGTGTATCTAGAGCATTTATCAGTGACAGAAATATGAAGAGCCAATGGGCCACTCACAGTACAATCCTAAGCAGAGGGTTTTTTTGGTCATCAAGTCTTAGCCAATTTATGGAGACCCTGTTGGGTTTTCAAAGCAAGAGAGATTCAGAAGTGGTTTGCCATTGCCTGCCTCTGAGTAGCAACTCTGGAATTCCTTGGTGGTGGTCTTGCGGTGCAGGTGTGTGTATGTTGCTATGGGAAGAGGAGTACATAAGTTGGATGTAGGAAGTGGGAGTGAATGCAGCTGTAGGAATGTGTTTTAATTGTATTTGGTTGAAACCTCAATAAACAGATTTTGGATTTGACTTGGAGGCACTATTGAGCAGACATGACAGGTCTCCCATCCAAATCCTAACCAGAGTTGGCTTTACTTAGCTTCCGAGATCTGATGAGATCCGGCTAGCCTGGGCTATCCAGGTCAGGTAAACCCTTCTAAAGCCACTGATTTTAGGATTATACAGTCACTAGTGCAGGCTCTATTAAATCATTTATTCCACCCCCAATCCAGTATAATGTTTCGTCTCTGTAGAATGCAGTAGATTCCATCTGAACATGTGCTAAACAAGTGCTGGACTTGGGAGTCCTTGATCTTAGCTCCAGATTATAATTCTAAGGAATTAGGGTTAACACATATGTACTGTTTAATCCCAAAGTGACAGAAAATCACAAAATATAGTGCAAGTGTCTGAGAATGAACCATGTGTACTGTGAATATCATTCACACTCTGAAAAAAGGAGAAAGATATATATATATTTTTACCAAGGTCAACATCTTCTACTCTTGGCCACTGGGAATATGGAATATTCTTGCAAAAGGCTTCAAGTATCTTCTCTTTAACTTGGCTGAGAGTGTCTGTATCCATGACCCGAACACTCAGGGAGTCCATTCCACAGCCTTGGAAAGAAACATTGAGATTCTGTGGAGAAAAATGGCTGTTTAGGGTGTGATTTGCAGGATTTGCTGGAGGGAAAAAGGTTGTGAACCATGGACTCACACTATACATTATATTAAGGGAGGGGGAGATTGATTCTGAGGTTGGTGAAACCTGATTTTACAGCCCTACAGACTGAAACAGCCTTCTGTATACACAGACCAAATAGACCAGAAGGTACAGCAGTGGATGCTTTCTCTGAATTGTTCTTTGTATGAACTTTAACATAGGGACACCTTACTATCGCAAGCAGGAAGCAGCACAGGTAACTAGGGATGGGCATGAACCAGCATATGAAACTAAAGTTTGTGATGTACTCTTTTTTTATAATTTTTTATTATATCCCAATATTGTTATTACATTACAGTTTAGTTCCAAAATTTTTGATACTTCTTTTCCCCTATTTTATCCCTCCCCCCCTAAGGTGGTCAACATCATGTTATTCAAATTACATTTTCAACCACGAGCACATTCTTTCCAACTTTTCAAATATACCCCTATTGGCTTCCCCTTTATAAACCCATTTAAAGTATACCGACCATTTCTTTTTTATCTCCTTCATTTTTGCATTCCATATCTAATCTTGCTTTAAACATTCCAATATGTCTGATTGTATATATTCGTATAAATATTCGTTCCATTTTTCTAAAGTCCATTTTGAGTTCTCCTTCCAACCATATGCAATCACTGCATGCGCTGCTAATAACATGACTTTGAAAATATCCTGATTTTGTTTCTCAATTCTATGGTTTCCCAATACACCCATAAATGATAAATCTACATCTATATCCAGGTTGACTTTACATAGCGCTGCTATTTTCCTCCGTATCTTTTCCCAAAAATCTGTCACCATTGGGCATTCCCACCATAAGTGAGAGTACCACCCTTCTTTTGCGTTACAGTGCCAGCAATTAGGTTTCATCCCTTTTATCATATATGCCAGTTGGGCAGGGGTTCTGTACCACTTCCAGATTATCTTCATTTCGAGTTCTCTATACTTTTCTAGCTTAATTTTCTTCAAGTTCACCATTAACTTATTAACATCCTCAGTAGTAATTTGTTTTTCCTTATTCCATTTGTTTTTTAAGCTTCTGCACATAAATTCCTTATCTTTCACCAATTCTAAATAAATCTTCCCTGCCAACCCTTTTATTATTTCTTTCACATGTAGTATTTGTTCCATATTATTGTCTTCCCTTTTAATAGCTTCTTTATACTTATCTTGTTTAATTAAAGAATATAACCCCATTGAATTTAACCAATATCTGTTTCCTAGTTTTTTATTCAACTCCTGAGGCGTTAATGGATTCTCTTGGCTATTATACATATCCTTCACTCTTAATATTCCTTCCTTCTGCAGGTCGTCCCAGAATTTCGGATTCATCTCCTTCTCCCATATATACCTAAGTGGAGTCCATTTTGAAGTTTGTGGCATCAATACCTTTTCCCACCTCTTCCAAACAAGTAAAGCTGTTTTCCTTGGTCCTTCTGCTTGTCTTATTTCTTTTCGTAGATCTCTAGAATACATTCCATAACTTCCTGCTCCCTTATTTATCTCAGATTCCAATCTTACCCACTTGTCCTCTTTCCTCCATTCTAACTCCATCACTATTTTTAGCTGAAATGCATCATAATAAGCTTGTATACATGGTAACCCCCATCCTAAATCATCTTGGGGCATATATACTAATTTTTTTATCATTCTTGCTTTTTTCCGTCCAAACACCCAGTTTTTAATATGTTCATCCCATTTCCTCATAACTGCTTGGTCTAATTCTATTGGGAGTACCTGAAGTAAATATAGCATCTTTGGAAGTATAAACATCTTTACTGCTCTAATTTTCCCTAAAATACTCAAATTCTTGTTTTTCCACTCCTTCAGTTTCTTTATTATCTTTGACCAAGCCTTATTATAATTAATTTTTTGCAGCCTCTCTATATTTCTATCGAGATATACTCCTAAATATTTAATCTTCCTAACTCCTGATTTCATCCCCGTTAATGCTACTATCACTCTTTTAGTTTCTCTATGTACATTAATAAATGTTATTTCAGATTTCTTAATATTTATTCCAAGCCCAGAACTTAACTTAAAATCGTCTAAAATAACTAACAATTCTCTTATTGCCTGTAATGGGTTACTTATTGTCAGCAGGATATCATCCGCAAAGAGATTCAGTTTAAGTTCTTCCTTGCCTATTTGGAATCCCTGAATTCTACCACTATTTCGTATCCTATCTGCTAGGGGTTCCATTGCTAATGCAAATAGCCTAGGGGACAATGGGCACCCTTGCTTTACTCCTCTCTCAATTAAGATTTCTCTAGTATGTCCATCATTTATTCTAATGACTGCTTTGCCTCCCCTATAAATTTCCCTTATAGTATTCAAATACGGTCCCCTAAAGCCAAATTTTTCCAATACCTGCATTAGATAATCATGATTTAAAGTGTCGAACGCCTTATATACATCTAATTTTAATAAAACTAATGTTTTCTTATTTTTACAGGACAAGGCATTTAGTATATTTCTCAATGGGTGGGCTATGAATCTATTTTTGACAAAGCCATATTGATCTTCCTTGACTAATTTTGATAGCAGTTTTCCCAATCTATTATCCAACACTTTTGTAAAAATTTTATAATCTTGATTCATCAGACTAATTGGTCTATATGAATTTATATCTAATGGATCCCTCTGGGGTTTTAATATTGGTAGAATTTCAGCTTTCTTCCATGTGTCTGGCATTTTGCCTTCTTTTAGAATATAATTAAATAATCTTTGCATTTCTGGAATCAGAATCTCCGCCATTTCTTTATAATATTCTGCCGTGAACCCATCCAACCCGGGGGATTTCCTATTTTTTAACCCTTTTATTACTTCTGCTATTTCCTTCTTTGTAATTTCTTCATTCAGTCTTTCTCTCTGTTCTGATGTTAACTTCTTATCTAGTTGTTCCTCAAATTTTTGGTTTTCTCCAGATTTAAATAGTTGCTGATAAAATTTAGCAAATTCCTCTCTTATCTGAGTATTTTTAAAAAGCTGGTTCCCCCCATCCCCCTTGACACATCCTATTTTTTGTTTTTCTTTTCTTGATTTTAGATAATTAGCCATTCTTTTCATTGTATTCATATTAATTCTATGATATTCGTTTTTTACTAATATTTCTTTTTTCCACATAGACAAAGAATCTAAATTCTCTAAGTCTTTTTTAAGTTTTTTTAATAATTCCTGAGTCTGCCTATTATAGTTACTCTGAAGTTCCTTTTGTTTTAGCGTGATTTCATTTACTATCCTCCTTCTCTCCTTATTATTTTCTCTTTTAATTCTAATTTCCTTAGCAATATAAACTCCCCTTATCACTGCTTTGGCTGCATCCCAAACTACTTCTTCCCTGGCTGAGTTCCTATTCTCTCTAAAGTAACATTCTATGTTTTTCCTTACGTCCAACCGATCCTCTTCAATTAAAGGCAAATTTGCCTTATATCGCCAAATAAACTCTTTTCGCTCTTCGCTTAATTTAAATTGAACTACCAAAGGAGCATGGTCCGAAATCCATATAGGCTCAGTTATTGTTTTCACCACCTCTATCTCATTTGTTTCCTTTACTAAAACATAATCAATATATGAAAAGTTCTTAAATCTATTAGAGAAGTATGTAGGTTGTAACGTTTTCCCTCCATACATAAATGCATCTTTCAATTTCCATTTCTTAAGCTTCAGAGTTTTACTTTTCCTAAAATCATAATTAACATCTCCTGCCACTACCAATTCGCCTTCATAGAAGTTCTGCAGTTTCTGAAATATCTTATTCAAAAATCTTACCTGGCCTGTATTTGGTGCATATATTGAAGCTATTGTAAACTTCCTATTATTCATCTTAAATTTCAGAAAAGCATATCTTCCTTCTAAGTCTACTATTTGATCTAATACTTCTATCTTCCAACTAGCATGTATAAGGATCGCTACCCCTCTTGCTTTCTTAGTTCCTCTTGCTTCCACCTTTGTTTCCCACAGTGGCGAATTTAACAAAGGTTTTTTATCCTTTTTAGATTTGTGGGTTTCCTGCAAACACACTATATTTATTCCATGTTTTTTAATCAAATTTTTTAATCTGTACCTCTTTAAATCTGAAGCCAAACCATTTATATTTATAGATAACAATTTTAATGTCTCAACCATTTTCGTCTATACATTCATTATATCTTTGCTCATGTCTATCCTTTATTACTTCGATGGTCCCCCTCATCCCCTTTCCCCCTCCCCGAAGAGCCTCCCCTAAGGGGTATACAGTTGGCATACACCTCCTGACCTCTTCGCTACTTGGTTGAGGTCTACGTTCCCAATTCCCCCCTCCCTTATTCTTTCAATCATGTAAGTTTCAATATAAGCCACCATGCTTATTCTATATTGTTTCTGATCCAAATAATTCAAAATACATTAAACACAAACAAAATACCTCAAACACCAACTTATATCTCTATTCACATTATATGGTGCCAATTATAATCTAAGAGCAGCTAGCATCCTTTCTTGGACGTTTTGACTGGCTTTGCAAAGCCTGACTCGATTCTCCTTCTTCACTACTAGATGTAGTTATGTCGAAAGCTTCCCTTTGTTGGGCTTCTTCTTCCTCCATAGCTTCTGATTCCAACGACGTCATACTGATTCCCAGTCTCTCCAGCATTCTCCTTGCCTCTACTGGATTTTTTGCTCGGAAAAGTTTACCTTCTCTAAATACCAGTATTACTGCTGGGTATCCCCATGTAAATAGTATTCCATTTTCAAATAGTTTTTGAGTGTAAGGTTTTATTTCTCCTTCTTTGACGGTCGCTCATGGACGCTAATCTACTAGTCAGCTCCTTAATTTTGGCCTCATTAGCTTCAGCTTTTTGGGCTGCCTTTTCAGCAACCTTTTTTATGCTCTTAACTTCTAATGCCAACTGACTCAAATCTGTCTTAAGAGCATTAATATCCCCTCTCACATTCTGTTCCGAAGTGACAATAAGCTGTGTTAAATCTTTCAATTCCTTCTTAGTCACCATTTTTACGCTGCTCCTCTCGTTACAGCCTCCACCCAGGGAGAGTGGAGAAGAAAGTAAACACAATTTATATCACTCACTTCCGAAATCTCGTGCAGCTCAAACCTCTTTGATTCTCTGCCACTTTTCGCAGATGTTTCAGGTTGTTTCCCAAAGATTTATCTCTCTTCTTTGGAGGCTTAATAACTGACTTCTCTGGGAGGTAATTTGGAAGCACCTTAACCAAACCGATGCATGCGTAGAACCCCCGTTTGTGATTAACTTTGGCCGGTTTGTGGTTTGCAAACCAGCACAAACTTTCCATGAACTTTCAAGCTGTTCATGGAGGTTTGTGGGAGTTCATGAATGGATACATTTCCAGACAGACTGTCTCCATTCAATCAAAATGTTTTACCAAAATTCAAAGTGGAGGTGGGGGTGGGGCTTGGAATTCTCCAGCCTTGGAAATACTCTGGTCAGTTTCAAATTACTCATGTCAGTTTCAAAATGCCCCCCCCGCCAGTGTTCGGTGTTCCCTTCGGGTTCTGCTGGGCATTCTGCACATTGAAACTGCAGGGATTCTCTAGTTTGACATTAGTCCTCCTTTTGCTTGCACTGCCACAGTGGCATTGGGTTCTGCTGGACACTAGTATATTGCACTGGTCCTGCTGGGGGATGTACTAAAAGAATGAAAGGATTGCCCATTGGAAACAATGAGAAAGGCTTGAAGACCCATTAGGAATAATGGGAACGAGGACTGCCAATTGACTTGCATGGACTCCACTGAAATACATTACAGGACAAAATACTTGCAATGAAAATGCAGAGTGGATTTTCAATTAAAGTCTCTGAGCCCAGATAAATTGCTGTGAGATTGGGATGACAGCCCCTGGGAATGGAGAAAGTGTTCTGGGTGTGGAGGAAGTGTTCTGGGAGTGTATTAAAAGCCCCCAGATGGGAATGATGGCCCTTGGGAGTAGCAGAAGTGTTCAGGGGCTGGAATGACAGCCCCTGGGAGCAGCAGAAATGTTCTGGCACTAAAATGACAGCCCCCCCCAACTGGAATAACAGTCACTGGGAATAGGAGAACTGTTTGGGGACAGGAATGACAGGTTGCAGAGTGGAATGACAGCCCCTGGAAGTAGCATAAGTGTTCTGGAGCTGGAATGACAGCCTCCAGACTGGAATGACAGCCCCTGAGAAGAGCAGAAGTGCCCTGGGACTGGAATGACATTCTCCAGACTGGAATGTCGGCCCCTGGGACTAGGATAAGTGTTCTGAGGCTGGAATGACAACCCCCAGAATGGAATGAAAGCCCCTGGGAGGAGCAGAAGTGTTCTTGAGCTGGAACAACAGCACCCAAAGTGGACTGACAGCCTGTGGGTTGTAGCAGAAGTGTTCTAGGACTGACAACCCCCAAGAGTGGATTGATGGCCTATGGGTCATAGTGGAAATGTCCTGGGACAAGAATGACAGCCCCGAAAGGGGAATGATGGCTTGTCATTCCACCCTTAGAACTCTTTTGCTCCTCGCAAGGGATGTCATTTCACTCTGGGGACTGTCATTCCAGTCCCAGAACACTTCTTCTACTCTCAGCAGCTGTAATTTCACTCTGTAACCTGTCATTCTTTTCCCAAAACAGTTCTGCTACCTCCATTTGCTGTCATTCCAGTTCCAGAACAATTTTGTTACTCCTAGGGGCTGTCATTCCAGCCCCCAAACACTTCTGCTACTCCCAGGGGCCATCATTCCACTCTGCAACCTGTCATTCCAGTGCCATAGACTTCTCTTACTCTCAGTGTCCCCCCTTCCACTCTGGGGGCTTTCATTCTAGTCCCAGGACACTTCTGCTACTCCCAGGGGCTGTCATTCCACTTGGGGGGCTGTCACTCCAGTCCCAGGGAATGAATTCTATTCCAGGGGATCACCATTCTATTCTGGGGCCTGTTATTCCAGTCCCAGAGCAATTTATCTGAGCCCAGAGACATTAATTGAAAACCCACTCCACATTTTCATTCCAACTATTTTAGGTTGTAATGTAACAACCCCCCCCCACGGCCACACGTGCCGCTTCTGTGCTTCATATCAGTCCTGTTGAGCTGGCATTGCCACACAGGCACTGGGTTCTGCTAGGCACTCTGTGATTGTACTGGTACTACTGGGTACTCTGTACATTGTACTAGTTCTGCTGGGCTTGCAAAAAATGACCCCCCTGCTCGGATTGTGTTTGAACTGACATTGTCACATTGGCACTGCACTTATTCTGCTGGGCTCCCCCCCCCCCCGTTGCTTGGACTGTGATTCTGTGCTAGACATCAGTCCTGTTGAGCTGGCATTGCCACAATGGCACTGGGTTCTGCTGGGCACTAGTACACTGCACTGGTTCTGCTGGGCTTGCAAAAATGCCCCGCACCTTTGGTTTTTGCTGCAGAGATTCTCTGGTTTGACCTTAGACCTGTTGGGTTTGTACTGCCACAGTGGCACTGGTTCTGCTGGGCTTGCAAAAATGCCCCCCACTTCAGTTTCTACTGCAGAGATTCTCAGGGACGTTGATTCTGTTCTGCTGGCCTTCTACTGCCTTTGCTTTTTTGCTTGTTTCCCCCTCCATTGGAAACAGTAGAGGATGGAGGAACCTTCTTTGAGGGGCTGTAACTTGGACCCCATAAATCCAATCCTTACCATACTTGGAGGACAGGTGGAGGAGAGTCATCCAGAGATCCCCTGCGAGTTTGGTGTCACTAGCACAAGGGAGGGCCTTTCTACCACATCACAAACTCACAAACCAAACCAGTTCATTTAGCCCCTAAAGGTTTGTGACAGTTCGTGGTTCGTGAACCAAGCATGCCACAAACCATACCAAACTGCATTTTCCCGGTTCATGCCCATCCCTACAGGTAACTACCGTCATTTCTTTGTTCAAGAATTTCCAAGCTGTGACAGGAGAAATGCAGAGTTCTCCACACTATAGGGAGGGGACATAGCTCAGTAGTAGACTTCAAGCTTGGCCTGCATAAAGTCTCAGGTTCAATCCATATCATTGCTCCTTAAAAGAATATCAGGTAAAAGAACTGGGAAAATGTTATGCCTGAGATCTTGGGAGAACATCTAGTGGTCAGACTAGATGGTACTAGGACAGCTGGGTCAACAGTCTGACTTTGTGTAAGGTAGCATATATGCTCACAAAGAACTAGAAGAGGGAATGGGGCTAGAGTTGTCACATTTACATGTATTCTTAAAGGCATTTGGGACATCACAGAATCAGGTATGTTTGGTAGTAACCTTTTATAACATGTTTGCCACAGACAGGCCCAAACCACTGATTGTGCCGTTCTAGCTTTCTAGCTTGGGTAGTGCTTCATGAAAAGTCTGTAAAAGAATTTAAAAGTTTAATATGAATAATAATGTTTAAACAGAGAGTCTAGTTACCCACCCCAGGGAGGGGGGCTGCTGATATCTCTGAACAGATCTGGTTCTTTTTTTTACCTGGGAATTGTGTGCATTTACTTTTATTTCAGTTACTTGCAAACAAAGAGTCATCGGCACTTCCCCAGTTTGGTCTTATGGAGCTATCATCTCTGCAAAGAGAAAGTTAATACTGAGGGCCCTGCCGCTAACCTCCTTAGCTCTGCTTCATAAATTACAGATGGGAATCTGCTGTAAAGCTGCAAAGGATACAAGTGCCAAAAACCTGTTCTCATTTACACCCTCATAGCTCTGAAGTGACCCTGCTGATTCTGGTAGAGCTGCTCCAGATTTACGCTATTGTAATCAAAAGCAGAGTTTGGCTTGGACCTTGTAAAAGTCTGTCGACTGCATTTACTGTCAGGGATGAACATATCCCCCCTGACCATACATTCTTAGTTGTGGAGTGAGTCCCACAAGAGGAATTTTACAGCATTACTTTTCAGCACAATTCCTATAACACCCTGTATAAAAGCCTTCACACCACTGACTCCGTTTTACAACCAACAACCTTTTTTCACTGGCCATAAAAATCACTGCTTTGCCAGAAGTTGTAAAGATGAGCCACTCTTATTTTACCTCACTCATTGTTCCATAGCAAATGATCCTGGCATTTTTTTTTTAGCATACCCTGGATCTCAGCCCATCAGATGTAATTGAGGTAGACAATATATCCTCTGCCTCAGAGGTCACAGTGCCCAGATGTTTAAAATTTGATGTGTATTTGTGTGCACTTTTGCAAGCCCAATAGATGCTATTCTGCAATGCCATGTTCAAAATGGACTGATGTATTTCTGTTCTGAAAACTTGAATATCTGATATGCACAATCCCTTGGGAAACTGTATAGTCAGACCATGCAATTCCCTATGAATCTTTTAAAATTTTTATTTTGCATAAATACATTTTATATGCTTTTAAAGATTAAACCGAGTACGCAATTCCAATATCCCGGGTGGAGATGATTGGAAGAAGGAAACTCCTCCAAAGGAAGGGAATATACTTCCTGGGTGTGTCTTGTCTTGATTTGCCAACCTAAGTGATTTCATTATACATTGTCTCATATCTTGGCTCAAAAGGCAATTCTCTGCCCCTTAATTATATGTTCAATAGCTCATATAAGTTTGATGACTGTCCCATGAAGCTCGTTTTAAAATCTTGGGTTACACCTCAATCTCTATTATCAACGAAAACCACCTTCATTTGGGAACATCCCCCTAACCACAAGATACTTCATTTGTGGCAGCTCAGAAACCAGAAACATGCCTCAGCTGGGAGACTGAGGAAGCAAACATAATTTCCTAAAACTGGTACTGATTTTGCATGCTGCAAATTTAGACAGGATATTAATGATTCCTTTATATATTTAAGAATAGGACCCTCTTACCCTTGGCTTTGCTTCAATGTTCTCTCTCAGTAGCCATTCTTCATTGAGAGTATACCTGGCTTTTCCAGTGATGGCATCTATAGATCCTTTATTGATCTGTTGTTTGATAGCACAGAGTAGCAGGAAGAAGGGCTCCCCAACTGTTTCCTGGTAATTAAAACAATGGGAAATGGCTTCACAGTCTATAAGAAAGAAATTCCCACAACAAAGCTCGTATCTTTACAGAGAAGTAAATGCTTCCAAGAGGCACTATCTCTCTTTTGGGCTTTAAATGTCGGCCTTTTAAACATGCTGAATGTTACAAGCAAAGTTTGCTTGCAGTCCTGGAAAGTGATGGCATCTTTCATCCACAGGAGGCGCTCACCACCCTACACAATCAAGTAATATTTCCACAGAAATTAAAGCACTTAGAGATTCTGCTAAAGTTCATAATTGCCTGGATTGGTTACAAATTCTGGAAGCTTTTACGGCTGCCTTAATTATGGGATGAATGCTACAACCCTAACAGTTCTTCTCTAGGTTGGGGTACGGTCTGAGTTACCGTTTACTTTCATCCTAAGTGTGTGGAATGTTGTAAGGGCAGTGTCCTCGGTGCTCAGGACACACATCACTTGATTTCAATGGGCTTACAATGGGGTAATTCTGTTTAGGATTGCAACATAAATGTCCTTGGATGCCACTGTGTGTGCGTGATTTAGAACTATTGGGTGACCTAGGGAGTTGCATTTAGCTCCCATTTGAAAAAGACTTCAAATTTAGGAATTGTGCTAAGAATAAACCAAGCTATTTTTGCCTCTATCTTTAACAATTTGGTTTGCCAAGCCCAGTTCCAAATCAAGCTGAGGGGAGTTCACCCATCATTGCAAACAGCTATTCAGAACAGGATGCAGATGTGGAAGCAGCAACATGTTAAAATTGGGTGTTAATGAATCAAAATAAAATCATCCAGTTCAGGCAAAAAAATAGTAATAAAAACACAACCTCAAACAAAACAAAACCTAAAACAACTGAAATGGTGTGTGTGTTTATAAATTGCCACTAATAATTGTTCAATAGGGCTCAGAACACAACACATATATGTCTTCACATCTAGAAGACAGGCAAGATTAACAGCCATATTAGCTGGAATCTGTCCAGTCCTGAACTCTTATTAATATACAACAGTACTTCAATACTGATATCACTGCAACTGGATAATGATAACTGTATTCACAAGCCCAGTACAATTTTTCCTAATTTATTTATGATAACAAATTAACCAAGTTTAACTTCAAGGTATCAATTAATCCAATCAATTTTTGTAGTTTAATTTATCTGTAGTTTAATTTTATGTGTACAAACATACACCTTTTCTGAAATTACTTAGGACAAGAGAACTACAAACATTTCGTAAAATATTTTAGAAATCTAAATGGGCAACAAACATCTGTTCATCTGCCTGGATGATGCTAACATTACCTCTGTGTTCTCATCACTAAAGCAGCGAGCTTGGTGCAAGCTTCAGGATGCTGTTGCATGGCTGGAGACAGGCATATGCCATCTGCTGTGCAGTGCCAAGATTTAAGTTGCCATGAGCAACCTTTCAATGTAAAACATTATAACCATACTAGCTTTTTCCCTCAGAGTTTCTTTAATGCTCTCCCAGATACCCACATCCAACTTGTTCTGACATGGTAACCAGGTCACAGTGTTTGAATTTAATTCTATTAATTTTTCTACACTAGTGAAACAACAGTTGCACAAACAGTAGAAATGCCACAGAATGAGAAACTACAGTTTGACCTGGAATTGATGAAGCCTTGATTCTAAACAGACACACACATACAGAATATGTTTAAAGCAATGCACATGATGAATCAAATTGTGCAAAAAATTGGATAATATATTAGGACTCATTTAGACTGAGGTGGAAGAAATGGCAATTCATACTTCATCGTTTCTTTTAGAGGGGAGGAAAAGATGCATTTCAGGGATTCTGAAGTCAAGAAGTGATGAGGGCTATTGCACCTGAGGCGGCAATATTAACTTTGGATATATTATTCTGGCTAGACGTACATGAAAAAAAGAAGGAGGTATAAACACATTTCTGTTCATTTAATGAAAGGTGAGGTCAGCCCTGGGGGTGGGATAGATTACCCCTGTCCTGGATTTTTAACCTTAAGAGTCTACACTTGGTAACTGTATAGATTTAAGGAGAGATTAAGGGGGGGAACCCAAAAGCCACCCCCCCAAAAAAAGAGACTATGTTTACTATCCTCCTGAGCTCATAGAAGGAAGGGTAGGATAAAAATGTGAAAGCCATAAAAGAGAAAAAGCAAATAAACAAACATACAGGCTGACCATATTGTGAAAAGCAAGCATGGGGCTTGGAGAAGGGCTGTGTATGAAATTCAGATTCAGACATTTAGAGAAAGCAAGATCAGTTATATAGTACTAGCCTGATACCCGTGCTTTGCTACGGTATTTAAGTTTCGTAAATCCAATTATAATACTGATGATGTGAAATTTGAAATGTGACATTTGTTGTAGGAATTCTAATGGAGAAGATTGTAGTGTAAGAAATGAAGTGAGACATGCGTACTTTTTCTCTCTCTACTAAAGGACCTCTCTCTAGACCACACTGGTGGTTCTTCCCTCAGGTGCTAGGATCACCAGGCTGCTTGATGAGCTCACTCTGGAGCAGGCCACATAGAACTGTCCATTTAAGAAGCAGTCGTCTGTTAAGTCAGCTCCTGCTACCTTCCACAAAAGTGATGGCCTCTCTACCTGTGTTCCTGGATTATTTTGCTCATATGGAGACTGTGTTGTTCTGAGCACCTCAGGGTGATCTTGCTGGTACTTGGCCTGTGCAGCTCAGTGCACTGCAGGAGTACTATGTGCAAATGTCTTTGCCGCATTCCTAAGTTGCCTCCTCCTTGTAGTGTTGGTGTATCTGGCTCGACGTTTGCCAGGAGCTTTCTTGGGGACAGTAATAGGTGAGGGGGAGTTGGTGTGAAGGAGTGGTGAATCCTCACTCTGCCACAGAAGTTTGCTCAGTGACCTTGGGGTAGTCACTCTCATTTATGTTCCAGGGTGGTTGCGAGGATAAAAGGGAGGGCAAGAGAATGATATAAACTGCCTTGAGTCCCTGTTGGGGGAAAAAGTGGGGTATATATGAATAAATAAAGCTGAAAACTGAGGGCAGCTAAAAAAAAAAGTTGGTTGAAGAGTGGGAAGGAGAGAAGAAAGCAGGAGAAAGGGAGAAGATAAGTGGGCTGCTGAGAGGAGAGAAAGATAAAATAGAACAACTATTATGTGGGTTGCTAGACAGATCACAGAGGGGTTCATTTGGTACAGGTCTGGCAGCAACCATCAGGTGACTCACTGCCACAGAAGTTTGTACAAATAACTCAAGCCCAGTGTTGACCACCTGGCAACTCACTACTACTTGACAGCACAAAAGCTAGCGTGGTGTAATGAGAAGAGTATCAGACTTAGATCTGAAAGACCCAGGTTTGTATCCCTACTCTGCTGTGAATGGGTGACCTTGGGCCAGTCACCTACTTCTCTCTCTCTCTCTCTCTCTCTCTCTCTCTCTCTCTCTCTCTCCCTCTCCCTCTCTCTCCCTCTCCCTACCTCCCTCCAAAGCATCAGCTCCTGTGGCCTGAACAGCCCAACACCTACTTAACCAAGAGCTCAGCCCCACCGACGTCTATGGGACTTGCTCCCCGCTGGCGTCCAGGAGCCCAGGCCGAGTACCATAGGCAGCAGCCAATGCAGCCAGCCACTCAGTTACTCTCTGCTCCTGCCAGGGGCCGCCTCCCCTTCCCGCAATTTGGGAGGACAGCCTGGCCCTCCCCCACACTCCAGCTGCCGGCCCCACAATCGCCGCCAGCCCCCTGTCGGCTTTACAACCCCTCTGCAGGCTGCTTGGTGTTCTGACAGCATCAGCAGGTTCGGATGTCTCCCGCTGTGCTTCTCTCTCCCTGACTCTGCCGGCTTTTGTGCCTTCAGGCTTCCCTCCCCACCCCCTTGTAATCAGCAAGAATGGGGGGCGGAGAGTGAGAGTTATAGATATTTGACCCCCCCCCCCTGCAGGCGTAGTGCTGCTTTTCTGCAAAGAGGGAGAAAGGGAGGGGAGGTTTCTCCTGATGGCAGGCCCCCTGAGAAAAAATAGCCCCCCCCCCGAGAAAACAGTTGTTAGCTACGGGGCTGGCTCTCCCCTAATTTGGTGTCTCTAGGTCCAGTGGTTTGGCCTGGGCATTGATTTTATGGTGAGGGGACTTTCTTTTATATATATATAGATGGATCTGCTTCCAGATTTGAGCTCATTCTCTCGAATATATCAGCCCTCTCTTCAAAGCACATGGCTGACTTTCTAGCAGCTTCAGTCCTTGCTTCAGTCTTTTTGTCTTTGCCAGAGACAAATTTTACCTGAATCATAAAGCTCCTTCCAAAGCCATTAACATTTTTTCTGTGAGAAGGCCACACTGACAGAGCAGGTATTTATTGCTTAGGCATTGTGCATACCTTAAATGGGAAAGCTGAGCATGTGACAGATTCCCCCCCCCCCCCCCGTGTTCAAGTGTGCCTGGTACAAACACAAAAAACCGCTGGCTGAAATTACTAAAGGTGAATGAAAGATGTATAAAAATAATATTTTAATACCGAGTTCAATAACACAGTGACCATATAACTAGATAAAGCCAAGGTGTTCTTACAAGAAACAACAGTAGTGCAGAGAAATGCGTCTTTTGGGACTTTATTTCTCTGCAGTGATTTATTTCTCTTTAGTGATTTTAGCCAGCGTTTTTTTGTGCTTTGTACCATTTCATGTACGCTGGTTCCCCTTCTTCTTTTGTTATCCTTCAAGCGTGCCTAAGCAAACAGTACTTAAAATGAACATTTCAGCCACTTACTGCTGGGTTAAGCCAAGAATTATCACACAAGAAATAAAGTACAAGGCCTAGCTTGTAACATGTTATTTTTTCCCCTGTTTGTGTTTTTGCTCTGATTTCCAGAAACTGTGGTGAAAATCTGCAGGAACATGAAGACAATGTATGGGAAAGACAAGATGGGAAAGGAAGTGGGCAGCTGGGGACTGCAGACAAAAAATGGCTAACTTGAAAGTTATTCAAACTTCATTGTTGGGAAACTGGCTTGGAAAT